GTGCTTGTACATTTATATGTAAAGTCAGGATCTGTGTTCATGTATATAGATGTTTTTGATATGTGTTTAAGACTGGCTTTATTATTGATATGTGCTTGTATATAAATATGTATAACTGGCATTTTTGTCAGGGTATGTCTTTGTATATAGATGTTATGATGTGTGTTAGAGACCGGCTTCATATGTGATATGTGCTAAACATAAACATATCAAAGTCCTTTTCGCACCTGAGCAGTCCTTTAAGCGGTCCTGCAACTCATCGAAAGCATAAATTCTATCACAAAAATTATATTTTTTCTTTACAATAATACATTTTTGTCTCTATTAACTTACTACTATATATTATAAGAATGTTCTAGGAGGATTTGAAGGTCCTTTGTGCCTCCCTAGCAGTTGTTAGTGCACCTGAGCAGTCCTTAGCGGTCCGACAACTCTTCAAAAAACATGCATTTAATTACTAAAATGATATTTTTCTTAAAATTATACATTTTTTTGTCACTAAAACATACTACCATGAATTATAAGAATGCCCCAACAGTTATTTTAAGGTCCTTTGTGCCTCCCTAGGAAATATTTATAGGTCTTTTTTGCCTGCCTAGCAGTTCTTTTCGCACCTGAGCAGTCCTTAGCGGTCCTGCAACTCATCGAAAGCATAAAACTCTATCGCCAAATTATATTTTTTTTCTTACAATAATACATTTTTGTCTATTACTTACTACCATATATTATAAGAATGTTCTAGGAGGGATTTGAAGGTCCTTTGTGCCTCCCCTAGCAGTTGTTAGTGCACCTGAGCAGTCCTTAGCGGTCCGACAACTCTTCAAAAACATGAATTTTATCACTATAATGATATTTTTCCTTAAAATTATACTTTTTTTTATTACTAAACATACTACCATGTATTATAAGAATGCCCCTTACAGGTTTTTTAAGGTCCTTTGTGCCTCCTTAGGAAATATTTTAAGGTCCCTAGCAGACCTTTTCGCACCTGAGCAGTCCTTAGCGGTCCGGCAACTCATCGAAAGCATAAATTCTATCACCAAAATTATATTTTTTTCTTACAATAATACATTTTTTGTCTATTAACTTACTACTATATATTATAAGAATGTTCTAGGAGGGATTTGAAGGTCCTTTGTGCCTCCCTAGCAGTTGTTAGTGCACCTGAGCAGTCCTTAGCGGTCCGACAACTCTTCAAAAACATGAATTTTATCACTAAAATGATATTTTTTCTTTAAAATTATATACATTTTTTGTCACTAAACATACTACCATGAATTATAAGAATGCCCCAACAGTTATTTTAAGGTCCTTTGTGCCTCCCTAGGAAATATTTATAGGTCTTTGTGCCTGCCTAGCAGTCCTTTTCGCACCTGAGCAGTCCTTAGCGGTCCTGCAACTCATCGAAAGCATAAACTCTATCGCCAAAATTATATTTTTTCTTACAATAATACATTTTTTGTCTATTAACTTACTACCATATATTATAAGAATGTTCTAAGAGGGATTTGAAAGTCCTTTGTGCCTCCTAGCAGTTGTTAGTGCACCTGAGCAGTCCTTAGCGGTCCGACAACTCTTCAAAAACATGAATTTTATCACTAAAATGATATTTTTTCTTAAAATTATACATTTTTTGTCACTAAACATACTACCATGAATTAAAAGAATGCCCCAACAGTTATTTTAAGGTCCTTTGTGCCTCCTTAGGAAGTATTTATAGGTCTTTGTGCCTGCCTAGCAATCCTTTTCGCACCCGAGCAGTCCTTAGCGGTCCGGCAACTCATCGAAAGCATAAATTCTATCACCAAAATTATATTTTTTCTTACAATAATACATTTTTGTCTATTTACTTACTACCAGATAGTATAAGAATGTTCTAGGAGGGATTTGAAGGTCCTTTGTGCCTCCCTAGCAGTTGTTAGTGCACCTGAGCAGTCCTTAGCGGTCGGACAACTCTTCAAAAACATGAATTTTATCACTATAATGATATTTTTTCTTTAAATAATACATTTTTTGTCACTAAACATACTACCATGAATTATAAGAATGCCCTAGGAGGTATTTTAAGGTCCTTTGTGCCTCCCTAGCAGTCTTTTGTGTATCTGAGCAGTCCTTAGCGGTCCGACAACTCATAAAATTTTCACCAAAATCATATTTTTTCTTAAAATTATAATTTTTTTTTCACTAAAGATAATACCATGTAATATAAGAATGGCCTAGGAGGTATTTTAAGGTCCTTTGTGCCTCTTTAGTTGTCCTTTGTGGCTCCTTAGCAGTCCTTAGCAGTCCTTAGCGGTCCTTAGCAGTCCTTAGCAGTGTTTAGTAGGACCCGGTGCAAACTATGTCTAAAATTTGTGTCATATTTTACTTTGTACCAAATGTGGAACAAGAGAATTGAGTGTTTTTGATTATTTGTATATATCTTTAGGGCGCACATCTAGTTTATAGATCTGTGGAAGTAAATATTTCCTCTTAATGCAAGTTAATTAGGGTGTGGATCATCGGATAAGTGACGACCGATCCGATCAACACTTACGATTCACAGATTGAACCACGAATCTTTTGTTATCAAGACACCCATAAAAACATAAAAGTTAGTTCTAAAACCATGTTTTTTTCTTAAACAATACTTAACATTAAATATATATGCAAATATAAACTAGGTTTATGTTTTTATTTCTTGCATGAGTGTCTTACAAGTTTGTTGTACTACCAATATATGTTAGTTCGCAGTGGCATGTTTTACAAACTTTTTTTTTCTCTCTCAATTCAATTGAAATACCAAAGTATTTCCAAAAATTGGAAGTATTTTGCTGGTGGAATTTTAGAGTGTAGGACAAAAAGCCCCCCCATCTAAAAATGACATGGTGGACAAAAAGCCCCCCCCCCCCCCATTAAATTTACACACAGGACAAAAGTCCCCCATCAAAAATACAGGTAGGACAAAAAACCCGCCCCCCCCCATTCCATCAAACAAAAGCCCCCCTAAGGTTTATAGACCAGACTGATTACTATCTTTTTTTCTCATGCCCAGTGTTCAGGAACTTGGGTTATACTTAAAATAAATCTAAAAGAGTATGCGCCTTTCACTTTTATTTCCTTGATAAGCGTTGATAAGCGATTCTCTGAAAATATTCATTTACATTTGTACTGTACAATATATAATAAACATAAAAAACATTCATATCATCAATAACTTATATACAAATTACACAATAAATCAAATTAGAACTTTTGTACCTTTAAATTAAAATCCTTGTAAATTATCTTTTAAAACAATTGCATTTATTTGTTAAAATAAACATACCGATTTGACTTGTCTCAATACATCAAGTTGCAGATATAAACTGAAGAGATTCTCAATAACAATAGTTTGATGGACTGGGGGGGGGCTTTTGTCCTACCTGTATTTTTGATGGGGGGGGGAGGCTTTTGTCCACCTTGTCATTTTTAGATGGGGGGCTTTTGTCCGTATCCTGGAATTTTATATAGGCGGGACTCCTTTTCAGCCATTGTTGCATACAGGATATGTAACGTCACACTGAAGTAATTAGGGCTGCAACGATACACCAAATGTTCAATTTGATACAAATTTGATTTTAGACATCCTGATTCTATTTTTTTTCGATTTGATTCATTTCTGATTACTAATTTATCTTTGGTATATAATTCTACTTGTCTGCTTCAACAGTGAGTGTCGGTTTGCATTTCTGTTGTTATATAACTATAATATAAACTTATTTGACTTTATAATTATGTTTATGAAAATAAAAAGCTCTTGTCTATTTGGAAAATAATTTTAATCACGCAAATAATCAGTAATCTAAGTAACATGACAATCACAAATACCTTCTGCTGACTAGGAAATTAACAAAATATGTTTAGTAAATTATAATGAACACAGTTTCACAGGCTTGTCAGAACTGATATTCACTTTCGCTTTCATTTCTGTCAATTTTAACTGATCAGCAGGTAAGTTAATACAAATTTTTTTGCTGAACTTGAACTAGGATTGTCATGCTTACTAAATAAGTCTACATTGTGTTTCCGTTTCATATGTTGCATTAAATTAGACGTACTGTTGGAAACGATACCTCCGTAAAGCATAATTAGCAATTATTTTATACAAATCTTTGCGTTACCGAAACCCAAAGTGATCCCTACTCTTTGATTTTAATTTTTTGGGTGGAATTTTTAGTTTTATTTTATCAACATTGATGTTGGTAGCCATTTTGACTCGTTTGCCGAAAATACAACATTATGCGCTCTCTGATTGGATGAAAGAGTATTAATTGACCAATAGTATGTAACATGATAAAGCGCGAAAGGGAAAGACTAAAACTCTCACTTTTTCCGTGTTTAATTTTGGGTGGGGAATCAAATCGAAATTGTAACAGTTGGTATCGGAAATCGAATCGGCGCTCATTAAACTGGTTTTCCATGCATCGAAAGGTATTGTTGCACCTCTAGAAGTAACTATTTACTTGAGTGTTATTAAAATGTAACCGTCTTCAATTCATGTCACGTTATTATAAATATATAAAGCGACTAAAGATATTTATTATTGTTAAAACATAAAGTGTTCAATAAAGATAAAGTGATTCCATTTCCGAAACTAATTATAAATGACTTCCTAGCTCAGCATCATGGTACTTGTTTGTTTACTTTTTGTCTTTAATCGGCAAATTAATTTAGGAAACGTTGCATGATCCATACTCAAATTGTTTGTGTTTTTTGTGGACTTTAAGTGTGTGAGAAACATTGATAAACAAATAAGATCGCGATCCATGATCTCTTGACTGACCAATATTTGTACTCTATTTTTCTTTTTGAATCGTGATTATCCGAGTACTCGGACACTCGCCCCAGCCCTAATTTAAAGTTAATGGTGATTTAAAGCAGACACATTAATTCACCATGTAGAGTTCAATTTGGCAGTACACACTACACAAACATAAAAAAATGTCTTGTCAAATGAAATAAGATTTATTTATTTTCAGATTGAATTCCAAGGTTGATTTATAAAAGTACTTTAAAACTAATAATGGCGGTCTATTTTGACCACCGCCTGGATACAGAGCGCTCTGGGATCAACACAGATGTATCATGGTTCAGTGGAAATCCTATGCTTGCTGTGACATCATATAGTGATGAAACAGGAGGAGCCGTCAACCTTTTCCTTGATGAGGTAATGCTTGTTTTAAATTGTGTAATACATATAAATATAAGTTTTCTTACCATACCTGCGTACATGTATATCATGTCATAATGCTCGCCACTGTCTTGTCTGTTTAACAGAGGAATATCAGAATACTGTTATAAGCATGATTATAAGTATTCATAAAGTAGTGGCGGTATCCCACTCACCCTACTGTGTGAAGGTTTTTTCATGCAATTTCATATCACCAAAGATATTTTTTTATATAAGAAAAAATTCAAGTCAATCACAGTCAAAAAAGTCAAGATTTTTTTGTTTGAGACCTATTCACTGTTTTGTTGTTTTTTAATTTTATACATATTTTCATAGTTTTTATTGTGGTCAACTCTTGCATTGATTCTTGCCAAGTTATTTGTCTTTGTAATTGTATACCAAAAAAGATTTTTGCATTATCCTGACTTTGTTTTACTATCAAAATCTGATTTAAGTCAACTGTCAAGCATAGAGTCAGTCTGATACATGTATCTCTTGTTGAAAATTTGAGTTACAAGAGATATGATTGGACAGCAGATTTTTTAACAAACTGCTTTGTTTTATTAGGGAGAGAGATTACTGAATGTTAAGTTACAAAGAAGCTGCCAGGTAACATCATCGTCATGGCACCCAACAAAAAAGATAATTGCTGTTGGCTTTGAGAATGGTGAATTACTGATATGGAATGCTGTAGACTGTGAGTTATTTGAAGGTTTACCTCTACATAAACATGCTATAACAGTACTTCACTGGAGCTCCAATGGATCAAGGTTAATCTCTGGTGACAAGGTATGTTTCTTATAACTTTTATGATGCATAGTAAATTGATTTATGTTTCAATTTTAGTCAAGTTTTTAAGTTTCTCATAGTGACATACAGTATCAGTCAAGATGTGCTGTTTTTAAGTTTTGTTCGGTGATTTTTTAATTTTTTAATTGTACATTTTATATCAATATAATTCAAGGCCCTTTCTTGGACTAAACATTAACTGTGTCATATTACGACTCGGGGAAAGGGTTTTAAAGCTCTAATTTAAAGCTGTCACTGACTGTTATGAAAGTGTGTAAGTGATAATTGTTAACATAATGAAGAATTTTGAATTTACAGTCAGGTGTTGTTATGGTATGGAAGTCTGATGGTAAAGGGAGGTTACAACAGAATCCTCTACATCAACATCATTGTCAAGAACCACTGTCACAGATCATCTTTAAACCTCAACCACCACCGGATCCTTCCACGTATGTTATAGAAGACATTTTTGTTTGTTTGATAAAAGATGAATGTCTGGTCTCCATTGATTGATTAACATCCTTTAATGTTGGTTTTTTCCCCCATGAGATTTAACATTTGATCTTGTATAAATGTTAATAATGATGGTGACTTGGTGAGTAAAGAAGTCATCTGTATATTATTTAGGCTTTAGATTATTTAAATATTCAAAAATATAGACCAGTTGGCTTTAAAACTTCAAATTTGTGCAATTGTCTACCTTTCTAAGCTTCCTATTCCAATGCAAGACTTTAACATTTAAAAAGATAAAAGTTATACAGTATGCATGGAGTCAATGTCTTAGTGCCTGTTCGAATAATCAAGGTTTTCCTTATCAACAGATTTGCGATCCATATCATCATTGAAATGCTTATAAAATGGGTTGTATTTATTAAAGCTTGTACTTAAAAAATATCCCCATTGACCCTTGGCCTAATCAGTTATTTTCATTGGCACATCTGTTCCCTCAGGTGAAAATGAAAACCCATGAATGATATGATAGCTGTTTAGATTATTTATTATTGGCCAATGTCTAGACTAGTGTTCAAACTTTAGTATAGACTTACATGTAGGTTGAATCTGTTACCAGCAATATTGGTCTAGATTTGATGTAAGGGAGATGGATATGGTACCTGTTGTCTTTTTTTTAAATAATTATTTTCTATCTAGGTTTGGATTTAGTTATTTGCATGCTTCATTGCTAAAATTTTAAAGAAGTACAAAAATTGAGCCTGCCAGATTGCACATATGCAGGATGGCTTGGCTCTATATTGGTGACATAGGTTAATCATTTTAGGTTCTAGCAGGGTGAGGGTTAAGTTCAAACTGTTGATGTTTCAGGGATATCAATCAGCTGGCAAAGGCAGCTGTGAGAGGAGATGAATCTGCACTTGATATGTTTAACTGGAAGAAGGGAAAATCGGCGGGCAAGGACCCACTATTTAGTTCACAGGAAGCCCTCTCTTTCTTTATTGGTGGAGCTAGTGGTGAGTCAGTAGTTTTATTTAAAGTAACATTTATTCATATGACATTAAGGGAATTTAAAAAGCTAATCTTGATTGATAAATTTTAAGTGATATACAATACATCACAGCTATTGCAAAAAATAAATAAGAAATTTACTTTTTGTGCAGATACAAATGTGAGTGTCTGGCTCAAGTGACAGTCAAAAGTCTTACATTTTTGTGTACCTGCAGCTGAGTTTTGATTTTTTCTTGCATATTACTTCTCTTTAAAGTTGAGAAAGAAATATAAAAAAGTAATATTTTTATTCAGCACTTTTTTGTAGTATGTAGATTTATAGTAGGGCTGGGAACGAATAAGGAATTTGATGTTCGAATATTCGTTTTCCATATTCGAATATATTCGAATATTCGTTTTTTACAACATTTGTTCCAATATTTCACTTTGACGTATATGTATCCGAAATTGATTGCGTCGAATACTATACTACTTTAATATGCTTGCAATAATCGACGATTAAAAATACCTTCATTACTACGTCAGCTTTTTTTTAAATTTTATATATTGTTATTCGACATTAATGTTTACAATTTGAAATAAATTCATAATATGATTGCCTTTTGTTCAGTTAATCCTATTTGTCTTATTGACGGGAGGTAACTCGTGTGACTTGATTGACAGTTATATGAATCATCGTAACCTCTTAAGCCCCAATAACAAATAATTATATTGAAACTTAACTTGTATTATTTTTTATATTAATTTATAATTTTAGATAAGATTTGAATATTCTTAAAATAAATATAGCTATAACGCAGTAAATATCACACGGAGTGTAATATCTACGGAATAAATATATTCTGACGGAATATAGACACTTCCCATGCTTTCATAACCGCCCATTAATGCGTGCCTATTTATTCTTCTCCACAAAATTTAAGACATTGATTAATAGGAAAGATTATAGCACAAAAAACAATAAATAAGATAATTAAAATCGGGAAAAAATCTAAACTGTTAAACAGGTAAATTGCAAAGTGTGAAACGGAGCCCTTTTGATCAACTAGACCACACAGTTTTCACAGTTAATTGGCGATAATCGTTGACACGTGTCATACAAACGTGTGAACACCTTTTCAAATACAGGTCAAAGGTTTTATTTACGATATTAATTGAATTTGAAAGTAATATCAAGTTATATTTTTCGAATATTCGCATTCGTTTTTCAATGTTCGAATATTCGGTAGTGTTTCGAATATTCGAATATTCGAATATAATTCCCGGCCCTAATTTATAGTCATTCATGATAACAATGAAATGACATCATTCAAAGGATGTGACTCGTATAACACTGGAACGCATTTTCCAGTACTGGTGCAAACACTTGAAAAAATTCAATCTGACAAAGAAAGTATTTTGATTTAAGATGACAATTTACAGAATTTGAAATACTGTTGGAAAAGGCGTAAAATGAAACAAACAAACAAACAAACAATTTACAGAATTGTTGCAAACACTAGAAAATCGTGTGTGGTTTTATAAGAAAATGTTATGATTTAAGGTGGTGTATACTTTGTGAGTGAGGGTGGGCAGTGTAGCCAGGCATTTAAAGCAGACGGTCCTATATTGAAACTACTGTATTATGAGGAGAAGAACATACTGATTACAGTGACAGAAGGTTTATCATTGTTCCAGCATGCTGTAATGCCGGAAGGTGACACAAAGGAAATGATGAAGGTAAATGTTTATATACTGTCAAATCAGTGCTATAGATTATTTTTCAATAAACATTAAGCTTTTTCTGAGGTCCTGTACTAATTTTAGAGGTTATATGACAATCCCAAAGTTTTACTCTTTAGTCATTGCAATATTTCGTGTTTTTAACAGTTAACTCATTTTCTTCAAAAATTGCTGGGTTTCATTGTTATAATTATTAACAGACTTTTTTTTGTTTAGTTAAAAAAAAAACCTGTGAAGTAAATGTTTCATAGCCACATGATATTTATCCCAGTTGTATGTTACAAGATAATTTTCAGTTTACTTTATAAATGCTTTATGTGTTATACCTTACGCAGGGTGGTCTCTTTCTTTAAGGTAAAATTAAGTGGAAGGGGAGACAAGCCTGTGATTGACTGGGCGGGGAAAGGAATATTAGCTACATCTACTGGTGAAGGAGTTATCAGGTATTGTATTAGGCATATATAATACAGAATTCAAGAATGTTTGCTCCAGAGATTCATTTGCTCTAAATACAATTTCTGATGTATTAATGTAAACAAAATTACAGATCATTATTATATGTCTGTAAGTTTTAAGTCATTTTGGTGAATGAAATTCAAACATGCATATGAATTGTTCTGTATTCCACACTGTATTGCTCATAATTTTTCCTAAATGTGCATTGATTTTGTATTCATAAGCCAGTCACAACCCTATGTGAATAACCTGCTGCATAATGTTTTCATTAAAAAAAGTTCCTGTGTATTTGTTTAGAGTTCACAGGGCGAGTAAGAGTACAATTTTACACTAAAGGTGAACTGTAATACATTCCCTCAGAAAAGCACCCATATGTGCTTGTGGTGTTGGAAGTTTTTTTTCACTCAGGATAAAGGCACTAAGCCACATTGAATTTACCAGAGCACGGTTCAGCCACCGCATCGTTCTTGGGCAGGCTGTCAAGCAGTTTACCAGTACTAGTTGCCTTCTCTTTCACAAGGAACTGATAACTTAAGTACATGCCAAAGCAGAGGGACAGTGTGAATGACAGTAGAAAGGATTTCATGATCTATCACAACCAAAGTCACCTGCACTGTCTTGGAATTGAACCTTGGTTGCCTGAATAAGTCCAAAGCTCTATCCTTTGTTTTAATCAAACAGCTTGCACCCATATGTTATAATTGTTGTGTATTGTAGGATGTGGGAGCTGGAGAATGAGGAGAATTATATACTACATCTTGATGGTCACAGTGGATATGATCCTAATGAAAACATTACATGTTTAGCTTTCTCTGAAAAGAAAGGTTAGAATATCATAGTCTCACATAAATAGATAATAATTAAAAATTTCATTTTAAAGGTATTTTTTCATTCTATAATCAGTATTGATCAGCTAGTTAAAAAGTGCTGTTCATCATAAAGTTAAAGACTTCAGGTAAAGTGATCAATTTAGTCATTTACTATGATATTATATATATATATATCTTTACACTGGGGCCAAAGGCAAATCAGTATGTTAGGTAATAACAAAAAGACTAATGGAATATACACTTAAACAAGTTTCCCAATGTCTGGGCATAAACAATTTCTTCTGTGCTCAAACCCAGCTCCTCTTAAATGATTTCACAGAAAAATTGTTCTCAAGTGACCTGAAAATATGTCCAGGATTTTGTAATTTGATTATTTATGGCAATATTATGGCCCCTTTGTTATCTATGAAATATTGGCGGAGACAATGTTTTGTGACAGTTTCCTATCTCTGGTTCTTATAGGTACTCTGGCAGGTGGTACAAATATGGGGAATGTAGCCTTGTGGAAATATACACCACCTGTAGGTAATAAGAAAGTTGATGGTGAACAGAAATGGAAACTACAGACTCCAGCTACAGTGGAAGGTCCAGTTTCACAAGTTACTGTAAGTTATAATACTTTATTTAAATGCACCTAAAGTGCAGAGTTCGTTCACATGGTTTTCTAATATACAATTTAGTTTCTCTAATCTTTAGTTTTCTGTAGATTTGATAAGACTTGTTTTAAAGTATATTTACTGAAAGATTTTGAAAGATTTATATACTAAATCTTTATAGATAAGCTATACTCTTAATAAGGAAACTAATTTTCAATTCTCTTATTCATGGGAAATGTTGGTTTAAATTCTAAAATGAGATTGAAAGGTTATAAAGCTGTATCTTATGAAAGAACTTGAGTAACATGAACACTAAAACTATGTTGTTACCATGATATTATGGTAGATTCTCGAAAGAATTGTAACATAGAATGTCTCTGTTATTTAACATGCGTAATTGTTGCACTTTGATTTCATTTTCATAATGTTATTTGCTAAATTTTCATAACTACTATTTAAATCAGTGTTTCAATAAGTTCTGTGTTTCCATTGTAAATTTGTTTTTATTTTATTTTCAGTGGGGTTCAACAAAAGATTTGCTTGCTGTGAACACTATAGCTCATGTGTTCATGTTGAATGAACATGTGATGAGTGCTAACTTCAGAGATCAGGTATGTTACCTAATTTATATATTGATATTTTCATTAACTTCATCAGACCAAACAACATAGTGTTGATGTAAAATCCCAATACTTCATAACCTTAGTGCAATAACTATAAAAATTGCAGTAAAAGGCAGAAAGATGCAATAAACATATGGCTGATAGTTTCAATTTAACATTGAAATGTCTTATAAGAATAAGAACTTTATTTCCCCATTCTATCTACTGTCACATTGTCATGTCATTTATCCACAGAATTTTGGGGTATCCCTGTGGTATTGCAATTTTCAAATACATATGCATCTTTTTGTTACAATTTAAAAATGTTCGTAAGAATAATATTTTTAGCTCACCTGTCACAAAGTGACAGGGTGAGCTTTTGTGATCGCTTTTCGTCCGTCGTCCGTCCGTCCGTCGTCCGTAAACTTTTACTTTAAATGACATCTTCTCATAAACCACAAGGCCAATTTCATCCAAACTCCACAGGAATGTTCCTTTGGTGGTCACCTTTAAAAATTGTTCAAAGAATTTAATTCCATGCAGAACTCTGGTTGCCATGGCAACCGAAAGAAAAAACTTTAAATATCTTCTTTTAAAAAACCATAAGAGCTAGAGCTTAGATATTTGGCATGAAACATCTTCTAGTGAGTGTCTACCAAGTTTGTTCAAATAAAAGCCCTGGGGTCAAAATTGGCCCCGCCCCGGGGGGTCATTGATTTTCCCTATATGCATATAGTGAAAACTTAAAAAATCTTCTTTTAAAGAACCCAAAGAGCTATGGCTAAGATATTGAGCATCAAACATGTTCTAATAGGTGTCTATCAAGTTTGTTCAAAGAAAAGCCCTGGGGTCAAAATTGGCCCCGCCCCAGGGGGTCATTGATTTTCCCTATATGCATATAGTAAAAACTTAAAAAATCTTCTTTTAAAGAACCAAAAGAGTTAGAGCTAAGATATTTAGCATGAAACATGTTCTAATAAGTGTCTACCAAGTTTGTTCAAATAAAAGCCCTGGGGTCAAAATTGACCCCGCCCGGGGGGGTCATTGATTTTTCCCTATATATGCATATAGTAAAAACTTAAAAATCTTCTTTTAAAGAACCATAAGAGCTATGGTTAAGATATTTAGCATCAAACATGTTCTAATAGGTGTCTACCAAGTTTGTTCAAATAAAAGCCCTGGGGTCAAAATTGGCCCCGCCCCGGGGGTCATAGATTTTCCTTATATGTGTATAGCATAAACTTAAAAAATCTTTTTTGAAAAAACCCAAATAGCTAGAGTTAAGATATTAAGCATGAAACATCTTTTAGTGAGTGTCTACAAAGTTTGTTCAAATAAAAGACCTGGGGTCAAAATTGGCCCTGCCCCGGGGTCATTGATTTTCCTTATATGTGTATAGCAAAAACTTAAAATCTTCTTTGAAAAAACCCAAATAGCTAGAGTTTAGATATTAAGCATGAAACATATTCTAGTAAGTGTCTACAAAGTTTGTTCAAATAAAAACCCTGGGGTCATAACTGGCCCGGCCCCAGGCGTGTCATTGTTTTTAACTATATGTGTATAGTAAAAACTTTAAAAAAGTCTTCTTTTAAATAGCCCAATGAGCTAGAGCTTAGATGTTTAGCATGAAACATTTTCTTATGGGTGTCTACCAAGTTTGTGCAAATAAAAGCCCTTTGGTTAAATTGGCCCTGCAATGTTTTTTGGGGGGGGGGTTGGGGCGACCTATATACAGGTGAGCGACCTCAGGGCCATCATGGCCCTCTTGTTCTTGTTATTATATTTCAGACTGCTGTAGTACAGTTTGGTCCTAGTTCACTCTCTATTGAGGTGTTCTCTAATGGAACACATCATGATCTTAAAACAGATATACAAGTCAAAGGAATATACACAACAAAGGTAATGTTTTGTTCCACTAAATAGTTTTTATGTGACATTTAAACTGACAGTATAGATTTAAAGAGGACTCTGTATATGTATTATTAATTTTAAAAGCACTAGCCAACTTATTTCAAAATGCAACTAAAGGCAGTAGATTTTTCTTTTAGAGACATTATTATTTGAGAGAAGCATCTATTAATAGTTATTTGATTTTAAGCAAAATGTCTAACCATTCGTCTCAGCTCTCTGACCCTAAGTTAATCTTGAATAGAAAAAAGTGATTACTCGAAAAGAAGCCACAAATTATGGTAAGGTTAGTCATCCATTTGTACATGACTTAGATAATAAACTGCAGCTTAACCCAAGATAAACATTCAAATTTTAGATATTGATGGTGGTCTTAGTTGATTAATTTGGCTACTTCAACTTAAGGAATTAAATCAATGTTAGGATCATGTTAAAAAAAGGAAATTTGATAAGGAGTTGATCAGCATACCTAATGAATTATTTTCTATAAAATCTTTTTCGTAAATTCTATTTTATAGGATGCTCTAGCGGTATGGAATGGTAGACGTGTAATTCTATATGAATATTCAGAGGATAAGTCAACTATAAAGGCCTCTGGTAGCTTCACAACAGATTCTATGATAATATGTATATATGAACAAAATGTGTACAGTATAGAGATGCAGAAAGTTCAAGTTAGAACATTCCAGGTAAATCTGATATAAAGTTAAGTTAAAACATTCCAGGTAAAACTGATATAAGTTCAAGTTGGAAATTACCAGGTAAATCTGATTTCAGTTCAAGTTAGAATATTCCAGGTAAATCTGATAATAAGTTCAAATTAGAACATTCCAGGTAAATCTCAAGTTAAAACATTCCAGGTAAATCTGATATAAGTTCAAGTTAGAATATTCCAGGTAAATATGATATAAGTTCATGTTAGAATATTCCAGGTAAATCTGATATAAGTTCAAGTTAGAACATTCCAAGTAAATCTGATAATCTCAATCCAGACAAAAACATGCATCATTTTTTTGAGAATATTTCAAAATGTATGATTAGCGATTTATGTCCCCATCATCTCTGTTGGCTTTAAGTCTGCTTTGAGTGACAAAGCATCTTAGCCAACCTTTAGACATCTGTGGGTTTTTCAACCAAGGTGCAGAAAAAAGTTGTTTTTTACCTCTTTGTTTTTCACTTTATTCAGGGTACAGTAAAACAGTCCATAAACTTCAGTGAGGTAGAAGGACAGCCTGTATGTTTAGATATATGTGGAACCTACCTGTTGATAGGCACTGACATAGGCATACTGAAGGTTTTTGATTTGTCAAGAAGGTAATATTTTTAATTTTTCAATAAGTTTACATCTTTTAAAAGGTCTACATCATGTTTTGCTAAAAAACACAACAGACCTGCAGTTCACAATTGGCCTGAAAAGTCCATTGTACCTTACTCTGAGACAGTTGTGTTCTTCTTACAGGCAGCTATTATGTTGTCATGTAGTCATTAAATACATTAGTTATACTATGAGTAGGCTCACATTGAGGTTTTTTGATATAGAGGAACTGGAAATATTTTTTCAAGATTTTTATACCACATCTATACCAATAATGTGTGTGCATTTCAGTTCATTCGCTCACTCCATTTTTTCCAGAATAATCTCTTAATATGCGAAAAGTCTTTAAAATAAAAAGCGTTTAAGCCCTTTTATGTCAAACCAAGATAAGAATCACACTAAAGATCGATTTTCATTTTTTCACTAGGTATATTTATTGTCTTTTTCATATACATGTATTTCTGTTTTAAGTTTCCCATTTGATGACACTTTTTTTTTTCTTCAAATTTTATGTTTTTAAGCTTTTGAATATCAGTTGAGTTCCTTTAAGTTTTTTTCTGTAGCCTGATTAGTACAATGAATGATGATATTATAAAAGATGTGCAGATAAGCGTGCCTGTAAGAACAAAGTATCTAGTATAGCATGAAAGTACCTTATTAGTCCCCTACCGGTTTACCGGAGGGGACTTTAGGTTTACCCTCCGTCCGTCTGTCTGTCTGTCCGTCTGTCCGTCCGTCAGTCCGTCCGTCCACAAAACTGGATCCCGCGATAACGCAAAAAGTACTGAAAATATTTTTATGAAACTTGGTATATGGATAGATGGCAGTATGGAGATTATGCACGTCTTTTTCTTTCCTTCCTATGTTGCAAATTCTGGTTGCTATGGCAACAAATAGACTGAAAATATGACAAATTTTACACATAAACTGGATCCCGCGATTACGCAAAAAGTACTGAAAATATTTTTATGAAACTTGATATATGGATAGATGGCAGTATGGAGATTATGCACGTCTTTTTCTTTTCTTCCTATGTTGAAAATTCTGGTTGCTATGGCAACAAATAGACTGAAAATATGGCAAATTTTACACATAACCTGGATCCAGTGATAACACAAAAAGTACTGAAAATATGTTTATGAAACTTGACATATGGGTAGATGGCAGTATGGAAATTATGCACATCCTTTTCTTATCTTTCTATGTTGAAAATTCTGGTTGCTATGGCAACAAATAGACTGAATTTCAAGATTTCTTATTCTAGTTTTTAAGTTTTTTCACTATAAGTTCTTTATTTCTTAAGGTATTTACTTCAAACTTTTAATATAAGTTGCTTGTCATCAACCACATCATATGTGTTAAGGTTTACAACTCTAGTACAAAATTTATCAGAATTACCTCCCTTGAACTTAAAATTTTCATGAAAAAAACATTGTTTTTTTTAATAACTTCTTTTTCTGAATGTATCTACTTCATATAAATGTTTCTTATTGTCACTCAACATTTGTGAGTGTTCAATACTCTAGCAAGACTATTTCCAGAATTATACCCCTTTTGAACTTTTTTTTGAGAAATTGGTAATTTTTACTCCAACTTCTTCAATCATGATAGGATTTTAAAAATGTTATATTTTGATAACAGGGATGTTTAAAAAATAACTTTAAAGTGTCCTTCAGTCCGTCTGTCTGTACATAAAAACTGTTTCCTGCGATCACTTTTAAAGAACTTTTCAACAAATTTACTTAAAATAGGAACCTAAGTGAATGGCCCTTCAGAATGTTGCTTTGGCTCGTACCGGTAGGGGACTTATGGATTGCTTGCAATACTATGATAATTGCTTGTTAAATATGCTTTTATGATAATCTATTTCTTCCTCATAACAGAGAAGCTAAGCCACACAGTCACCCAAAGAATCTACATGAGCTGGTTCCTGGTTTTGGAAGTTTATTGGCATGTAAAGTAAACTGTAACGGTACCAAAGTCAGTGCTGCTATCAAAATGGTATGTTTGTGTTTTTAATAAGTTAAAAACTACATGTATATAGAGACAGTTCAATCCTTCATGATTTTTTTTATCATTGCAGGAAAAAAATAAATTTATATTTAAGGTTTAAAAGGTGCAACTAGCTGTGATTTAGTATGTTGATGTGAAGAACCAATGTTGTAAGGCCTGTTAGGTTCCTTTGATTTAAAGTTATATAGAATTTATTTTAGTTTGAGTTATAAGCCAATAGCTTATAGACAAACTCTAGAATCAGTTCCTTGAACCAACCAGTACTGAGCAATGAGTGTAATTTATTTTTTTGCTGAAGGTAATGGGGGTTTATTCCTGATGGTTTGAATGCTTGCGGCTAGCAATCCTTAATTTACTCATATGAAGTGTTGAACACTTTATCATGCCGTCACTTTATTTTATTTTTATACAGATATTTTTTTAGTACAGTATACAATACAATGTACTATAAATGTTGTAATGACATCATCTCTGATGGAATTATAATATGACCTGGTTTATGTTGTGGAGAATATTAACGAATATGGTAAATGATTTTATTTGTATGTTACTTGTTTTTTTTACAGCAAGGTGGTACTCAGACAGATCCCAAGTTGTATTTCTGGGATATAGAGACGGATTCTCTGTCATATTTTAACTTTGAGACGGGTAAAGGAGAGCAGGATGATTATCCACCAGAACAGATGGTCGGTATGCAGTCCGGTAGTGCTATAGAAATGAGTGATGCTGATAGGTACGCTTACACATATATCTATATGACCTTTTTGATCACCCCTTTGAAGGGAATATAGCTTTGCTTATATATAACTTCAAGCACTTTTCACTTAAGCCTTGAGGTATTGCTTTGAAAAATTAAATGCTTATATGGTATGGAATCTTGATGTGTTTATAATCACAAGGTGTTAAGTCGAAATCTTAAGGATCTATTCTTTTTCTACTATCAAGAACAGGGAATAGTCAAGCCTGATTTCTGACTGACAGCAGTTGATATCAATGCAATACTACTTTCATAATTCGTTAGTTATATATATTTCAAGTCAAGTTTATTTTAAATGTCTATGTTCATACCAGAACATCTGTTGCTTGAATGCCTTTTCAAACTTACCTCGAAGATAATATCAAAATAAAGCTTCATTGTAGTTTTTTAATATTTCAGAGGTAAGGATCAAGCTGCTAAGGATATTGCTGGTCGTTTTCCTATCACCCATCACTGGGACGCTCATGATCCAAAGTTAGTCGTGTGCGAGGCTCGCATTCTCCCCAGGACAGACAGTAAAGAAGAGAAAAAACTGAAAGCCACGCTAACCAAACAAATAGAGGAGGGTCCTGTAAGTATGGCTGAATAAGCAGCTGGCCTAATTTAGTGAAAACAATTCATTTGAGCTAAATTTAAGTTTTTAGAAATTAAAAATTGCAATGTTAGCAACACTGTAGGAGGCAGATTAGGATGAAAACTTAATATTCTGGGATTTAACCATGAATGTATAGGAACATATTAGAATATTTCATAACCATTTTACTTTTTAAAGGCACATTATGCCTCAGAAATTCATTATTTTTTAATTCTTTAAACACAAACATTTGTTTAATAATAATGGATTCAAAGCATATTAGATGTTTAACAACTGAAGAAAGTTGAGCTGAATGTGCAGTAATGTGTAGTAAAATGTAAACAAAGTAGTATTTTGACACCTATACAAAATCATTCACTATGATGATACCCATTGCCAGTAGAGCAAAAGAAGTAAAAGAAAGTTCATTTATGTTGCAAATGAGTATCTTTTATTATTTTTGTTTTTTGGAAACTGTAAAAATAGATTGTTTTTGATAGCATTTGTTAGGCATAATGGGCCTGTTACAATCATGTTAATATATATATTTTTCTAAATATTTAAAAGTAATAAAAGCAGGCTAATTGAACCAATATATCTTTAAATTTAGATCAAGACAGAACTTAACCATATGCTGTGTATGACATGTTGTTAAAAAAATGAGAAAATAATTAAAGTTAATTAGGTTATTATATATATCTAGCTCACATATATGTTTTGTATACAGGTGGAGGTAATGGTAGTATCACTGTTCTGTACACCAGAGAATGGTATACTTATACAAGACAGCTTCCCGCTAAGTGATGACTACAACTGTCTACTTGGTATTGAAGTTCCTTATCACTACTTTGTTAGAAAGGTAAGACCATACCTCTGTGTTTGTTTTGTACTTGAGCGTACAACTGGCCTTAAGGTTATAAAACTATTTTCCTCAGTTCTGTCTCAAATCTCAGGTTTTTCATTGGTCAGTGTTCATTCTTTGGCAATTTCTGACCAATCAAATATCTGAGATCGAGCTTGGAGAATTTCTTTATAACTTTGGGCCTGAGCTGTCTGACTATATGGTATCTGTTTGCTTCTCAATTTTAGTAATTTTATCCTGACAGTCATTAACCTTTACCACCCTAAATATCTTAAATGGATTTGCCCAATTTTCAAGCTGGACAAAACTATTCATCATTTTAAGGGAAATTTCAAAGTAAGAACTGAGTGAATAGTGAACACTAGTCACATGGGTAGAATTGCCAGCTCCTGACAGGCTAAGGGTTAAACTAATCATGAACTGTTTGAATTCAAAGCTAGACTTGAATTCAAAGCTAGACTATTCCATTGTACAATTTTAAAATATTTTCATTTAATGCCTATTGAAAATATAATACAGTGGTGAATTTATTTGTAATTAACAGAATGAAACTAGTGAAGATGAAAATGCTAACCAGGAGTCCGGTCATCTTGTAAGACCGGACACAGCAACTGTGATATACCCTAAACTTGTGTCACGTTCAACCATGCGTGACTTTGTCGGTCTCGAGAAAAGCGATAAACAGACACGGGAGGCCATGTTGAATTTCAGTTATTATCTGACCATAGGCAACATGGACGAGGCTTTCAAAGCAATTAAACTGATTAAAAGGTGAGTTAATGTCTTTTTTGCGTCAATGATGTAAAGATTTGATTTGTTTGATTTTAGAAGTATATCCAAATATTGAATTTAACAATATTTGCTGTTTATTTTAGATTGCCTTTATTTTTTAATTCAATTATATTAATACATTCAAGGGAAGTAACTTGTACTGTCATTATACATTCAAGGGAAGTTACTTGTACAAGCATAAATCAAATTTCAAGGGAGGTAATCTAGACCTTGGACCTTATATTTGTCTGGCAATATTACCCAGAATGCAATTCACTATCAGCTTTTTTTTCCCCAGAAATTTTAGCTTTTTTTCACATTAAGAATAATTATTCTGGAAAAAAACAGGATGGTGGAATGAGCTAAAAATTTGCACACAAGATATTGGATAAGACCTAAATTAAATGGTACACAAATCTCAAAAAAATATTTGCAGTACTGTCATGTCAGAAAACCTCAGTGGAGTCCCTCTTAAGCCTAAGAAATTTGTAAATTTTTCCTTCTGTAGGAAAGACAAACATATGTTTTATACTAATACATAGAAAATGTTAGAGGCTTTAACACCTGACGAAAATAGATAGAGGATATTGAATGAGTGTAGTTTAATACTAAATTTATTGAATGAGTTGAATAAAATCATATTATGCGAGCCTCTGGCGAGCATAATATTGTTTTATTCAACGAGTTCAATAAATTTAGTATTGAATCTAAATAAATATAATATTCTTTTTATCACATATATAAATAAGAACAGTAAACTGCTAAAATGAGTAATTTTTCAATGACGCGCCTATAGTGTAACGCCAACATAAGCGCACTTTAACGCTATGTTTCTATATGGCGCAAATGACGTCACGTCAAAATGTTATTACACTAGTGTAATATCGTTTTTATTAAATGGCTTTATTACACTCCTGCGCCGCGGTTTATGTGATAAAGCTGAATATGAAATAATCCTTTATAAAGGAAGCAAATCGTAAAAAAAGCGATTTTTGACCTTCATACAAAATAACTGTCATTGTTCATTGTACTTTTTGTCGAAACACAAAATAACCAAAGATGGTTTAGCTATGTGACCAATGAGAATAGTTTTTGGAAATTGTAACAGGACAACAAAAAGAATAAGCGCGTTTAAAAAAAAACCCGGAAAAGCACCATTTTTCAGTCTTAAATTTGATTGAAATAATATTTTTATTTTTTTTTTTTTTTTTTAATTTTTTTTTTGGTGTGTGGGGGGGGGGGGGGAAAGAAGGAAATAATGTTATATCTTCTACGTTTTGTCCAACACTGGTTTTACAAGAGAAAAAAAATGAAAATTCCAAGTCATCACACAATAGTCATTGATGTAGAAAAACAATTATTATTTTTGTTTATGTTTATAGTGAGTCAGTATGGGAGAATATGGCCAAGATGTGTGTCAAGTCTAGGAGACTGGATGTAGCCAGTGTATGCCTGGGAAATATGGGGCATGCTCGGGGAGCTAAAGCCCTGAGAGAAGCTCTTAAAGAACCAGAATTAGACGCTAAAGTTGCCACTTTAGCAATGCAGTTAGGCCTTTTTGTAAGTGTTAATTTGTTGAATCAACTATAGTTGTAAAAAAAAATAGAAAATAAACGTTGATGGCCGCAAATTATTTTCATATGGCATGAACAGTTTAAAGCAAATTTTTCATTTTTACCAGTAGTCAAGGCAACTGCTACATAGAATATTTTGTTGTTTAATCAAATAGAGGTAAAATAAGTATTGTTGACTGCTTGGGTTCAAACCCTGTCAGGGGCAAACTGTTGTCTCCATAAGCAAAAAACTTTACATTCATTGCTTAGTAATGGTTGATTCCTGGAACAGATTTGAGGGTGTTTCAGTAAGCTAATAGCTTCCAACAAAATCAAACTAAAATAAATTTGTATAAACTAAACAAAGGTACTATAGAGGAATACTTACCTGGGTTTCTGTCATAAAGTTTTAGTGTTCACTGATATTTCACCATTAAACATAATATCAATGTAAAATGTATTAACTACACACCAGTTTCTATAGCAACAGCATGTTCCTAATGTTATATTTTTGTAATGTTTATTTATAGGATGATGCAGAAAGATTACTTAGGAATTGTAAAAGATATGACTTGCTGAATGAATATTATCAGAATGCAGGCCAGTGGGGAAAGGTATGTTATTATTGAAATACACAGTTCTACATTATCAGCTCTGCAGATTAATTTATTCTGCTTAAAAGGAAAACTTAGTGTGTCAGTTACTGTTGACAGAATCACATTCACCTCACAGTTATAGGTTCGAATCTGGCTAGGGACCTTGGCTTCTTTCATATGAGAAAGTTATTCAGCTAGCTTACCAAAAGGTTGGTAGTCCTATGTGGATGGCAGTTTGTATTGGAATTAATGCATGACATAGCCAAGTAATCTAGAAAGCTGCCATAAGGCAATAATACTGTTGATGTGACTAAACCCCCAAACAACATAAAAGTAGTCTTGTGTCCTTTCAGATCAGTCACTAAAATTTGTATATTTTTGTAAGGCAGCAAATGTTGTATATAAATCTACAAAGAAAATCATCCATAGAGAAGGTTTTAGTAAAACATTGATTGATATTATCAAATTCAAACACAAACATTTAAAGCTGCTAAAAGTCACATTATGCGCATTTTAGCATTGTCAATTTGAGTTATTAGCTATATTTTTAAAAAATATTGACTATTATAAGTAAGGATTGACAAATGATTGATAATAACAAATGATTAGGGTAAAAATATAAAAACAGCATAAACCCCACTCTTTTTTATCCAATGAACATTACTGATTAGAAGGTTATAGCCAGGGGTCATGCGAGTTTTTGAAGGTTATATATAGATATTCCCATAGGTCACATGAGTTATTGGTTGTTTATGTGTAACAAAATAATGGATTGAAAACAATAATGACAAAATTTAACAAAATAATGGATTGAAAACAATTATGACAAAATTTAAAGTTCCATCCTTTTCCAGTACACTCACCATTACATAAACTTGGATGGGCATAATGTCACTTTAAATATGGTGTACAGAAGGATTGCAGCATATAAATGTGTTAAGCATGTATCTAAAATATTCACTGTTAAGGTTATTACTAAATGATTATTGTTACTAGATTATTATTGTAACTAAATTATTATTATTACTAAATGATTATTGTTTTACTGTCTTCAGGCAATGGAAACAGCGGAGATGTATGACAGGATTCATTTACGTACCACATACTACAGCTACGCTAAACATCTTGAAGCCAACGGAGAAATGACAGAGGCTATACCAAAGTAAGTTCCCAACATGGTTGACCTTTGTTTGAATGTTATCTTTTAACAATGTTTTTTAGAGAAAGTTGAAATTTTTAAGTAATTATTGAGCTTGACATACTATTAAAGTGTAAGAAATTGTAAAATGATGTAAATGCAGAATTCAAAGTGAACAAATACATTTGTAGCCAAAAGATAACTATATGTAGTAGACTTTATATATATCATTTTACCTGTTGTTTGGGTAACTTAACAACTTAAACTAATTTATTTTATGCTTTTCAGTGGATTACAGATTTATCCGTGAAAATTATATTTGATAATTTCACAGTGAAAATTATCAAAATAAATTATCAAAATATAATTTATCTTGAACTTTAAAAACAGTATTCTCAGTCTTTGAGAATACTGTTTTTAAAGCTCACTCAATGAAATAAAATTTCATCTTACACACAAACAAACAAATATCCTCTATATATCATTCTTAATGTTTCAGTTATGAGAAATCGGACACACATAGATTTGAAGTACCCAGAATGCTCTTTGATGAACCTGATGCTTTAGAACAGTATATACTCAAACATAAAGATAAGTAAGTATAGACAAGATCTTCTTTATGTTATATTGAAACAAGATATTATTTATGCTATATTGAAACAAGATATTCTTTATGTTATATTGAAACAAGATATTCTTTATGTTATATTGAAACAAGATCTTCTTTATGTTATATTGAAACAAGATATTCTTTATGTTATATGAAGAATCTTTCATTCAAAAAATTGTCTGAGTAACATTTTCCAGCTTAGAGATTAGTTTTTGCCATTTCCATCGTACTGCTGTAAATTGAAATTATGCTTAAGGAAAACTACAATTGTTTTATGTGAGTAAGCAAGCTTTCCATAATGCTTTTGGAAAGTAAGTGGTTCTCCGCAATTTTCTATCTGTGCCATAAGTTAAGATTAGAATGTCAATTTGAGTCTGAACCAGGAAATTTCTGGAGTTGCAATTTGATATAAGCACAGTCCATTCCAACATACAGTCCATTTCATGTACAGGCATCTTGAGTTTCGACCTCCACTGGTTAAGTTCCATAGTTATCATATTAATGTAGACCATTTGACATCAAACCACAGTGTGTATGCATCTTGTATAGTGTAATTAGATTTATCTAAGTCTTCTTCGTAAAAAAGCTATTTCACAAACAAAATTCTGTATCGTTGTAGATCCTTGCATAAATGGTGGGCCCAGTACATGGAGAGTTTGGGTGAAATGGACACAGCATTACAGTTTTATGAAATGGCCAGGGATTATTTGTCTCTGGTGCGAGTCTACTGTTACTGTGGCAATATGGACAAGGTAAGAAAAAGAACTTTTCCTATCTTATTATGTTGTAAGATTTGGACAAAAGAATGAAAATTATGAAGGTTTCAAATTGTAATTTTTCCTTAAAGATGCAGTGATTACAGGTATTGGCCATTTCCAGCAGCCTTGCTGTTAGGAAAACCCTTTAGCGGCACGGTTGAGTGTCCGCCTTGTAATAGAGAGGTCTGGAGTTCAAAACCCAGTCACAACCTGAGGATTTTTCAGGTTTACAATAAAGATATGACTATTTTTATTTTAGTATTGTTGGTTTGAAAAATGTTTTAGCAACAAACATCAGGTAAACTGAATTTTTGGTAATGAAAATGTCCTACTTTGTATTTAACATCCATGTGGTAGTTAAGGGACTTTTATCAAAATTCTTTGTATTTTGATATAAAAATCCTTGAAGTGTAAAGTCTAAATCTATCCTTATAAGATTTTAGTTTAAAGAGTAGATATATAAAACATGATACATGTTTGTTGTATTTTATATGACCAGGCATCAGAGATATGTAATGAGACAGGGGATAAAGCAGGATGTTATCATTTAGCTCGTCAACTAGAAAACCAGGACCATATCAAGGAGGCCATACATTTCTTCCAGAGGGCAGAGGCTTTCGGAAATGCCATTAGGTTGTGCAAGGTATACTCAAATTTTTGTACAATTTAAGCTTTCCACATAGTCCGTGGCCGAATGGTTAAGGTTGTTGACTTCAAACCACTTGCCTCTCACTGCTGTAGGTTGGAGCTGTGCGTGAATGGATTCTACATGTAGGAAAGATATCCAGCTAGGTTACGGAACATCAGTGGTTCTGATCAGGTGCCCATTTGTGCATGAGATCTTTCTCTACCAATAATAGAGTAGTTAAATTTTGTATAAAACTGGTAATTTCATGAGTTTTCTGTTTTGCTAAGTTTACAAACATTGCTCAGTACTGGTTGTTTCTAGGAACAGATTCAAAAGTCTTTCTGTAAGTGTATATCATCCAACATAAACAAAATAAATTAGTATAAACTAACTAATTGTATAAAATGTTGTATATTTGATGTACTAGGAACACAGTTATGAAGATCAGATGATGAACCTGGCGTTGATGGGACGACCGGAGGATATGATGGAGGCAGCGAGGTACTACGAGGATAAACCAGGACAACAGGATAAAGCTGTCATGTTGTATCATAAGGTATGATGCTGATGTTGTACATACTTAGTTCAGCATAAATAAAGCATACGAGCCGCGTCACAACAAAACCAACAAAATGGGTTTGCGACCAGCATGGATCCAGACCAGCCTGCGCATCCGCGCAGTCTGTTCAGGATCCATGCTGTTCGCTATCAGTTTCTCTACTTGTAATAGGGTTTGTAAGCGAACAGCATGGATCCTGATCAGACTGCGCGGAGGCGCAGGCTGGTCTGGATTCATGCTGGTCGCAAACCCTATATGTTGGTTTTGTCATGACGCGGCTCATATGATGTTTTTTTTTCGACATTTAATCTTTAGAGTACTGGTGTCTCTTGTAACTGTAACAGGCTCCTCTCCCTACCTCTCACAAATTTCAAAAAGAGAGGTCAGTGATGCATATGGCATGCTAGTGAAAATTTCTCTCAAGTTTTAAAGCAAAATTTTTTTGTAGGATTTGTATTTCTCACATACCTTATTCTTAAATACTTTTATATGTTATTATAACTTGTTGCCAATGTGTATTTCTTTCAATGTACAAAAATGTGAAAGTGTATATATCTTCCTTTCATATGAATTTGCTGTATGTTTTTTATTGCTGATTATTTTATATTATGTACTTAGTAAATTGAAAAATATTTATCACTCATATTTTTGTTGGTGGCTATATTAAAATCCAACAAACAGGCAAACAAACAAAAATCTTTATATAGTCTTGACAATAAATGTATGATATTTACAGGCTGGTAATTTCTCACGAGCCTTGGACCTGTCGTTCCGTGCTAAGCAGTTTGGTGCTCTACAGATGATATCTGGCGACCTTGACGAGAGAGCTGACCCTGAGTTGTTACAGAGATGTGCAGACTTTTTCCTCGAAAATGGACAGTTTGATAAGGCTGTTGATCTTCTTGGCATTGGCAAAAAGGTATGGCTGGTCTCTATGTAGATACTCACTATAATTATGATTCAATATGAGAAATTTGCATTTTTGGTAATACAATCATTACAACCTTTATAGTTCTGCTACTATCTCCTTGCTTATATCTTCTCCAAGTTTTATAGGTATGTTTTCTTATCCTGAACATTATTCAGACTGTATGTAGAACAAACAAAAGTAGTATACAACAATTGCTCAACAATTATACTTAAAGAGTCGCATTTTGTTAAAAGAGTAACAGTTTTAGCCTAAAGCATTCAGCATTTTGGTGATTCTGAAAGTTCCATAGATTCCATCATTTTAAAATCACTTGAAATGATATTTTCACAGTGAAAATATAGCCTCCTTAAGCATTGTGGTTGATAACTTGATCACTACAAGTTTAAGTCTGTGTTATCTCCCTTGGATGAATGATAGATAGATAGCATTTGTTGTTAGTAAGGTTCATTGTAGCTAGATTTCATTATGTGATTGGAAATCAAGAAATATCTGGTCGGTCAAAAATATATTTTACAGCATAAACTGTAATGATAAAAAGGTTATGTTTAAAGAACTGAAAATTATATGTGTATATAATACAGGAAGTAAATTGTTTTATATTGTTATGTATAGTTGAGTTACTTCCCTTAGATAAGTTTTATAAGTTACATGGATAAAAGTTGAAAAGTCAACATATAACATAGATGTTTTGGATGCAATTCTAAGTGAAGAAAAAAAAACATGTATAAAGGAAGATAAGCTATATTATGTTTATCTATATATGACAGTATTGGGAGGCACTTAAAATATGCATGGACCAGCATGTGGAGGTTACAGAAGATCTGGCGGAGAAGTTGACACCTACAAAGGAGGAGCTAGGTGGAGACACCATGGAGAGGGTGAAGATACTGGAGGCTATAGCAGAAGTTTGCATGCACCAGGGACAGTATCATCTAGCCACCAAGAAGTTCACTCAGGCCGGAAATAAAATGAAGGTAGTGTTATTTGTTTATATAAAGTCTTTCGGGTTTAATTTTTACCCTCAATTAGTCTGTGATATTTTTGATTGGGAACTGTTAGGTGACAATCTGTATGATTAAGCTTGCTGGTAAATGAAAGATGTTTGGGAGTTGAATTTTAATGGTTACATTAAGGATGCTTTGTTAATGGCAAACTTGCAAAACACAGCTTGTACAAGTGATTTGATTAAAAAAAAGGAAGATAATTTTAGAAGAATCAAATAATAATGTTGCAGAGTTCAGTTACTTTCAAGGACAAAAATCATCGCTTAGCAAGGTAACGAAATTGATTTTAACTTTTCTTATTGATATTTTCATGAAGTTCATTATTAATTAAATCAGTCTCATAACCTGTTTGTGATACTTGCAAATACACCAAAGTTGTCTTTCATTTGATTATTGAAGAAAACATTTTGTTTCTTCTTTTGTCAATTGTATATATATTCTTGCTGTTTTATTTCAGGCAATGAAGGCATTATTAAAATCTGGTGATACTGAGAAAATCATCTTCTTTGCTGGTGTATCCAGACAAAAAGAAATCTATGTCATGGCGGCAAATTACCTACAATCTCTAGATTGGAGGAAAGATCCCGAGGTCATGAAAAATATCATAGGTTTCTATACCAAAGGTCGGGCATTAGACGCTCTGGCATCATTCTATGATGCCTGTGCTCAGGTGGAAATTGATGAGTATCAAAATTATGACAAGGCCCTTGGTGCGCTGGGCGAGGCATTTAAATGTCTTAGCAAGGCCAAGATGACAGACGAAGCTCTACAAGAAGAGAGATTAGGTCAACTGAAGAATAAAATCACACTTATAAAGAAATTTGTGAATGCAAGAAGGTATGTCAGTAAAAAACATGTAGAAAGTTTTTTGACAATTTTCTGTCCATTTTCTATTCAAATGATTCAAAGGCATTAGAAATCAAAGATTTTCCTTCTAGTTATGTTAGCTTCTATTTCAGTAATTCTATTTTGATTTACTGTGAATTCACAGGTATGAAATTTCGTGGTTTTGTCACAAAGAACATTTTCATGAGTTCTTTAATTCATGGACTGTTTATTTTTCAGAAAGCAAAATATTGTTACAGCAAACAGAATGAAATTTTGTTGGATCTTAAGTTCGTGGATATACGAATACCACGAAAATTAGTTCCCCAGTAATAATAATGATTTTGCAGTAAACTGTTTTATTCCATTGTAACATTTAGTAAAGTTATGTCCCTTACATGTACCCATTGTCATGCTGTTTATAAAGATATTGTAATATTTCAACATGTGTGACACAGATATTTTATATAAATCAGGATATATGACGAAGATTCAGAGGAGGCTATTAAACAGTGTCAGGTACTTCTAGAGGAACCAGATCTTGACAGTGGAGTGAGAATAGGCGATGTTTATGGCTTTATTATTGAACATTATGCCAGGAAAGAGCGCTGGAAGGCTGTAAGTGTTTTATCTGTACCAGTCAGCTTATTTTATGTGCAAATTATGATCTATGATGTATGTATTATGAAATTACTAGTACGCTTGATGAAATTGTTTTCTTTTGAAATTAAATCAATTTTTAAAGTCTGCCTGCTTAGTTCAGTTGGTAGAGCATTGGTCATCTGGGAGTAGCTGGTTAGATCCTCAAGACGAGGTGCAATTTTTCTATGACAAATGATGTTTGGCATTGGATCCAATGATCTTTTGTTTCTCACTACTGATTGAGAAATCATGTCAGGATTAGTTGTCAGTCACTTTCAAAGACACGACTACCGTAACAGAGAAATAGGTAACTACTATTTATCCAGGAAAGTCGTTTAGTTTCAGGATAAGTAGTTAATCACTTGCAGAGAAACGACTTACAGAGAAATTTGGTAATTACGAGTTATCCAGGAAAGTTGGTTATTTGAATCAACAACTGAGATATGCTTTTAAAAATATGTTGAAATCTGCGTAAAAAAAACAACAGAAAAACAAATAATTGATTTCTATCAAATGCAGATATACAACTTTTGCCAATTTAAAGAAATGGAGGAAAAAAATTTAAGATTTCTATAATAAACATGCCATGGTTTCTATATTTTCTAGGCCTATAATGCTATGGATGAGATGAAGGGTAGAATATCAGGTGTGAACATGTCTTACTATGTGAATATGCGAACAATACAAGCTGTTCATCAAGCTTTGGATATACCACTTAGTAACACGATAAATGCCGGCCAGATGAACGGGTACCGGTCGGCAGGTCACGAGGATGAAGATGGAGACATGGTGGAGGAGGATGTTCCCATGTATAATGATGATCTTTGATAATGGGAGATTGCGTCTGTGATAAACATTTAAATTTGATAAGAATGTGAAAAAAAAATGAAAATCATTTATCTTGTCATAAATTGTGAGCAAGATTTTGTTTTGGAAAAAAAAGCTTATTAAATGTTTGAGCTTTTTTACGACATGCTGAAATTTTAATGATGCTAAAAATCAGTTTATGAGATGTAGGTGGAGTGTTGTTTTTTTTTAAAAGAGAAAAAACAACAACATTTTTATACATTAACTTTTTTTGAAGTTTGATCACCAAACAAAGGTGAAACAAAGGGAGTATCTTACACTATAAGATGTCATTAAAGTTTTTATGCCAACGTTTCATGGTAGGGAAACTTTAAATTACATATTAGTAAGACTTTTCAGAGGAGATAGCCATTGTTGAAAAATTAGGACAAACAAGCATATCATGGGTAATTTTGTATGTATGTATGAACATTGGTTTTCTACATGGCTCGAGGTATTGGTAAATGAGTTTAAATGAGTTAAGAGTTTCTTGTATTCATCTGCATTTAGGTATGGTTATGAAATAGTATTTGGTTCTTAAGTTTTTGTACATTTATTGAATTTTGATGAGATATGGTTTATTTTTTGTTAATTTAAAACTATTTTTCAAATTTTTGAAATGAAGGGAGGTAACCTTGTTAACTCTGGCAAGAATGGCATGTCAAGGGCAACAGGCTAGGCCAGGCAGCACTTTTATTTCAAAGTAACTATATGAAAAGAAAATAGGCTGGACATGTTTAATATACAAAATAAGTAGTTTATTGGTTTAATCTTGGAAGCCTTGGAATTTTAAGCACCCAGACCTTAAAGGTCCATTAAAGCCCCAAAAAAATGCTGTCGTTTTTATTCCTCAAAAGCATTTCTTCTTTGGTAATCGTTAAAATTATAGTGATTAAATATTTTGTATTGATACAAAAATACTTCTTTGTTTATATTTTGCTATCTTTATGAGATATTGCATGTTCAGGGCTAATTTCTTCAGTTGTTTGACTTCAAAATTCTCTTAAGTCATTATTTAAGACATTATCTACCACATGATTGACCTTTCTAAAGAATTAATATATTTGTAATTTCTGAGGCATGATGGGCCTTTAATCCTAAAATTGTAAAATGTTAAGGATGTATTGTCATTTTCCATTCAATTTGAGAACAAAAGTGACGGAACTAGTCGAATTTATAAAAATCAATAGTGCATGGAGTCCCTCTCCAAGCATAAATAGGTAGACTTCCTTTTAAACAACACAACTGTCATTTAGAAATTATAAACATGAATGTCCTTCAGAAAATTATTTTTTTCTAGAAAATTTTGTAGTTTTGCATTGCATGCTCAAAGTGCATTGAAATCCAGAGACTTTGATGTGATAAAGTCCAGAACTTTAAATTAAATTGATAACATTGATAAAAATTTACATTTTTTTCTTTTTTGTTGTTCATATAAAGGACTTTACACACTTTTTCAAAATGAAAATATAGAATATTTTTGTTCTTTTGTCTCAATTTTCAATCTAGTCTTCTGTGCTGAAGTAACTGTTGCCATTTTTTGTGCCCAGAATGTAATAGGAAAAGCATGTTGAATTATAAGATTATACATGTATACATGTTTCATTAACAATTATGATGACCCAGTATTGTTGTATATATGTGATATGTTAAAACCGGAAGCATATATATATATATACATTTATGTAGTAGTTTACTTTGTTCTATATGCTAGCGTGTACATGGAGAGAGTTCTGGCATACACCCTGTAAACCCCTTTACTATTTATTGATTTTTTTTTATAATGTGAGTCATTCTACACATGTCTGAAGGAGGATGAAATCATGGTGCAAATAGGTACCTTAACTTATTGTAAATTAAGTATTTATGATGTTTGTGCTCTAATATATATGTTTTTTTTTATTGTAACATGATTTATGTATACATTTTTTTTTTTTAATTTTCAAGTCCGTCCATTGAATACATGATGTGCTTTATTTATTGTTCTCTCATACAACAACTATGTTACAACCATACATATCATATACACAACATATATGTACCTTTATGTGTCTGAATCTCTTGGCAATTTTTTTGCCGGAAAAATGTTAGTTACTATAGAAACGTTTTATTGTTACTATTTATAGAACGCTAAGATTGTTACTATTTATAGAAAAATTGTGCTGAGGTTGTGCTATGTGTTCTGTGCCTTAATGGTTTCAACTTTGTTCTAATTTCTGATTTTTGTTATCATTTTAACTTTCGATCAAGAATATTCATGGGTAAGACAATTTATATTAGTGATTATAGGTAAATTGTTTGGTTAAATGAAGGTTTAAAAATGCTGTACTGTTTTTGTTGACCCTTTTGTTATGTAATAATGACTTTAGTTTGGTGATACTTCATATTTAAATCTTACTCCGAATCTGAGTCTCAGATAATCATTGACATAGATTTCCGAGTTAAATTGAGGGAACAGTTATCTGGACAATTAAATAGGGTTATAGGTCAAGGTCACAGGTGAAAATTATGAATCCAGGTCTTGAAATCTAGTGTTTTAAAGTTAAATTATATGTATGAATTACAAGGATTCACTTTGATCAGGTTTGCATAGGAGGTGACAATTTGGGGCAAATATAAAACAAAAATGGTTTTGATATATTATTTTTGTTATCATATACCGTTATATAATATTAAATACAAAATGTCTGTGTATGTTTTCTCCTAACATGGTTTAATTTTCCTTTTGTAGATATTCTTACATTATTTATTTCTCTCATCTGCCATTTTATATGTTTTTTTTTGCGTATCATTGATTTACTGTGTATAATTAATCATTACAACACATTTCTGATTGAGAGTTTTTTTTATATTCACACTATGATTTCTAGAAATTCTAAGCTTAGTTTGTTAATGTATGAATAAAATGATATATTTTGAATCTGGATTTGAGTTTTTTTCTTTTTTCCAAGACATGTAGAATTTAAAATTTAATAACCAGAGATCAATATTGAGAATTTTTAAATTTCCATACAGAGTTGAAAAGGTATGTGTCTTGTTTATAGAATATGTCCAATCAAAAAATGGTTTATACTTAAAAATGAAACCTGCGAAGTTTGGGATGAATTTTGCCATGGCAACCCACATACAGCCTGCACTGATTAGATTTAACCATAGCTTGAAACCAAACTTTGACACAACAATCATTAGGACAATACCTTCAAGTAGGGTTATTCAATTGGATCAACTTGGTTATGACCTTCACTCATCAATGACCTTGATGATCAATTATTGAATTTTGCTTCATTTTTGCTATCTTTGGCTATAACTGTCTCATTTAGGAATTGATCGTGTTCATATTTAAACACAGCTACATTAAGGACAATGCATTAAAAATCATACTCAATTTGACCTTGACTCATAAATGACTGACCTTGAAGGTCAAATAATTGTTATTCACAGTTTTTTTTGCTATAATTGGCTATAACTTTGTTAGTAAGGAACGTATGTGTTTATCTTGGACACAACAATCCATCGGACAAGACATTATACAAGTTTAATAATATTTGAACTTGACCTTGAAATATAAATGACCTTGACCATCAAGGTTAAATTATCAAATTCAACATAAATTGTCATAATTTATGATTTAATGTATCGATTTGATTTATATTTTAACAAAAGAACACTTATGACAAAGCCTGGGTGTTGAGCAATTCAAATATGACCCTAACCTTAAATTGACATTGTCAAGGTCAAATAATTGAAATTTGGTTCAATTGACTTAACGAAATTTATGTACAGATTTGATTTATATTTAAACAAAAGAACACATGACAAAAACTACATGTGGAATTTTTCAAATATGACCTTGACCTTAAATTGACCTTCACAGTCGATGTCAAATATATATATATTGCTTAAATTGTTAATTCTTTCTAGGACAAAATAATAATTTAAACAAAACTGACATTATGGTTTATCAAATGTGATCTTGACCTTTGTTATATAATTTAAGTATAACCTTGATCATCTGTGAATGACCTTTACTGTCAAGGTCTTATAAAAAAATTGTAAGAAAATGATGTTTTTAGGAATTTTATTTTACTACAATATTCCAAAGATGTATTGGACTTTAGAAATTAGAAAAAGTTGAGCGCTGCATAGCTTGGTGGTAGTACTAGTTTCTGATTTTGCATTAATTATTGGTCGCAAAAGAGGATGAACCCATATGGTCGCGAAAGTTGTTTCCCAAAAGTTTACAAGTTTAGACTCAGTAGCGTGTGTGTGACTTGGTGTAAATGGCCATGTAAAGACGAACATCATTGTCGCCTTATCAATCGCTCTCGGGACGTTTTGAATAATGCTTTTGAAACACTTTTCCAAGATAAAATTACTTATTAATTGAGTTTGAAACAACACGTCATTGTTTTCCCAACAGAAAATAAAAGCTAAAGGCCGACTAAGGTGAGACCTATCCCGATAAAACATCTTGCATTTAGGTTAGGTGTCATCTCAAATCATTGCTGAATCAAACTATATGTCACAGGGTGAGAAAAATGTACAGCCAGACCAGGACTACAACCCGGGACCTTCGGAATACCGTTCCGCAGCTCCACGACTGAGCTATCCGGCAACCTACAGTCCTACCACATCCTCTCCTCTGAATAGTGAACAGTTCTGAACCGTGGCATATGTAAAACTATTTTATACTTTTCATAATACGGTAAGTTGCATTATTAAAATAATCAATACAATTTTAAATGTATTTTATATAGCTATTTAAATGTGGACGAAATGAAGTGAACTGTAAGACATTAGATAATTATACTCAGCTAACGGAAAACAAATTATATGTCTGAACGTACGTTTGACAAGGTAACCTAAGTAATCTAGGTTTCATTTAAAAACACCATTAAGATATTCGACATAAAATATGTTCTTCATAAAAATGGAAGAAAACACAAAGAAGCAAATTCATCATGTACAAATTTATTTTTTTCACATAAAAAGACGACTTTTACAAGAGTAAACAAAATGAACAACATTTCATAACTGTTGAACTTTAAATAAATTGTAATACACTGTACAGGCAAATATCAGAATTGTGGTAAAACAACGGTACACACCGTTGTCATGTTACATGAGCAAAACTTCGTTAAACAATATTAACAGCATACGATTGATAATAAATGAAAAGATTATGAGAAAAAAAAATGAAAAAAAAAATGATTTCATATAAAAATGTTTGTGGATTGTTCAAGGGACTAAGGTCAGTTTAGAATGTATACAAATGATAATTTCATTAAATACTGTCTACTTGTATGTTACTTTAACGAAAATAGTTTTGTATTATCAAACATACAATTAATACGGACAAATACAAAACTTTTAAAAAAATATTTAATGAAAAATATTTAATATCAATTCAATTTCAATATATATATTTTCACGCCCTAAATTTGAACAACTTTTAAAACGCAAAATAATCTAAGACATTATCAAACTAATGTTGAAGCACCAAACTATTTGTATGCCTTCTTAAGAGCAATTTTACTATCCCTATATATATATATCAAATTATCTTTCTAGAAAAAAAATGTAAGAACAAAATATTAGAAAAAATGTGCATGTATAAGTTATATATAAATTACTATAAATCATGGGAATAATAATCTCAGCAATATTTCTATTGCACTTGAAAGACATTGGTATATATGTACAACAGATATACTATGCTCAAATCTGATATTAAAAAAATAATTTATTATTGCTACACAGTCTCTTTTTAAATATAATTAGTCTAGTAAAATAAATTTGTTTTGACATCACACAAAGTAGGTATGTTATTTTAAATATTTTAAATTTTGCATACTATAGCTGATCACAATATTAATATGCAGTGTCATTAAACAGTACTGGCAGTGTTTTTATTAAGAAAAGACCAAATTTCTTGACCTGTTATAGTACGGAAACGTATAGCGACCATCCCCATATGATATATATCAAATGACTTTTTTTACAGTTTTATAGTATGTTTGTTTTATGCAAATATGATTTGAGGAAAGAATTACATATTTAAAAAGATGTAAGTGTTTTAGTTTTTCATTTTGTCAAAAAGTTTAAAGTAGTAAAAAGTAGTATATCTTGCATTATAAGATAAAAACGTACGATAGATTACAAACAAAATACGTATCATATATGATTTACAACATAACTTGATTTAATTGCTTCCTTTATCAAATACAAATGTCTTGACTTTTCTCGTGTCACACATCATATAAGACGAAATATCGCTAAAGCTTAGTGATCTCTGTTCCTATAATATCATCAAGTGGTCGAATATACCATTTTATTTAATATTTATCATGTACCATCCTCTGTACATACATTTTTAATGGTAAGTTTTCAAAAATATAATGGTTTCTATGATAACTAATTTACATCAGGTACTACTTCACTAGCTTATTTTATGCTTATTAACAACTAACGGAGTTTGTCTTTTTTATATAATCTTTATCTTGTAACACTATCTGAAGCACAATTATTTAAACATTCCTTAATCTTTGGAATACAAAAAGCCTCAATCAAATGTTTCATACATAATTTTTAAAAAAAGCTTTCTATTGTGCGAGATTTTTCTGTCCTCATTATCAAATATAAATTGTAAAATATGTTATATTATATTTTATAATGATAGAGGTATGCGAACAAAAAACCTCAATATATATAACTAATACATATAAATTAACAGAAAAATGTCACATAAATTTGAATTCAGCAATATAAACAGCAGATTGAGTAAATGATATATATTCAAGATCAAATAACAATGTAAATATTGGTCAAATATATATCGTGTGTTAAATAAATTGTCTTAAATTCTGTTTTTACCAACATGCAGGGGCTGTAGATATTACTGGATAAATATTTCAGATCAAGTAAGTTTGTAAAAATTGGATAGGTATAAAATATGTATTAAATAAATTGTCAAAAATTTTGTTTTAACTAACATATAGGGGTGGTCGCTATACGTTTCCGTAGTTATAGGGAACTCAGTTTCCAATACATAGTTTATTCATTCTTTTATTCAAATTCAGACATATTCAGTAAGAATTTTATAGATTTGAATAAATTTCAGAGATTAAAATATTTCATTTAATGATGAGCATAGTATATCTTTAAGCAAATGAAATGTATTTGTATTTGAAGTTGTGTCTAAGAGATCATTATATGTAAAATCCTTCCATGTTTTTTTTTCTCAGTAGGATAAAATACAGAATAAATAATGTTAAATAACTGCCTTAAAATTCGTTGATGAACATACATATACATTTTCATAGTTTGTCATTTCATAATAAGAATATTTTGTCTACCATAAACTATATGAAATAAACTTCCATGCAATTTGTTTTACAGATAAGATTTGGATCTACAATTTTTATTTCCTTGTTGCCGGAAGGGGAAACCTGTTTGGCAATTTCTGACATCTTATCATGTTTTCCTATGTTAAGATGAATAAATGTATAAAAATAAAATAAAAGGTCTTTCAAAATGATATGGAAAAAAAACAACATTTCGACAACTTTCAAAACAAATACAAAACAGATGGACAATGCAAAATGGTAAAAATCCCTTCAATACTGAACATTGAATAAAGAGAGAAAAAAAGGAAATATAACAACGCATATTATTGGACAATATGAAACACCTTATCTGACTGAAAAGACGTTTGCAAACGAGTTTGTGGTTTTGTGTTAACTGAAGCATGTATATTAATTATATTCAAGGGCCATTATGCCTCAGACATGCTATCTTTAAACCATTTTGCTTTTTATATCTTTTTACAGCTTCCAAAAATACTCAATTGCCATATAGATGTACTACCTTTTGCTTCTGTTGCTTTGTAATTGGTATAACTATAAAGTGAAATACTACTTTATTTACAATTTTCTTCTCTTACAACACATTCCTGCATGTTCAGTTCCATTTTCTTCAGTTATAAAACATCTAACATTCTCTCAATTTGCTATTTAACATTTAAAACACATGTTTGACAGTTCTTAAGAATAAAACAATATGGATTTCTGAGGCATAATGTGCCTTATACATACATCAAATAGAAATTGCCGAACATTTCGGCCTACCAGGTCTTGGTTTCAACTGTCCAGGCAAAGTTTTCTTTTTATATGATGCTCATCATCGGAACAAACCATTCAACAAAATATTTAGATAACAAGATGAGACTGATAACTACAAAATATTGTAACAATAGCCTTGATAACTTTAAGGCAATAATTTACTGATGAACATTTTTGGTATTCTTTTGGGTTCATTTGTCAAATTACTAGCTGAGCTCCGAACCATCTCACATAAGTTTGTAACATTTCAATCTTAACTTTAGAATGCTGTGATAATATTTAGAACTGGAATGTATTTAAGTAAGTAAAGATATGTTTGTTCACTATGACCACTGCACCTTCTGTCAATAAAAGCAATGTTACAATGTCAAATTATGATTGTTTGAATCACTTTTCCTTGAGACACAAACGCTTGTCAAAATGTCACCACAATACCTAGTGAACATTGAAATTATATTTAAGTTAAAAATAACGGACTTAAGCACCAACCAATTATTCAACCAAGTTAAGTTATAGAAAAATACGTTTGTGCAATAATTGATGAAAGTATGATTTTTATTAAAGTTTACTGGCACTTAACATAGCACATAAAATACTGGTAAAAATCTCAAAATGTAACAAGACCCATTCATCCTCCAAAAAATGGCAAGAATTGATAAATAAAATGCTGGTCACATATAAATAAAATCGATAAATTCCGAATATCTGTGGCTATTTTCATGTCTGATAAAATTGTTGCCAAATCCTTCACTGAGCACCCATAATACAATTTATTGCACAATTTCTTATCATGTATCGCAATGCTCCTTACTTTACAGAAAAAAGTTGCTTTGAGCCTTATGTCGCCTATGGATATGCCAAACCAGTGTTGATATGACTAAGCTGAGTTTCCATCGGCCGCTGTGTTAACTAGACTTAAGTCAGACCATTGACTCCACTTTACTGGACGCATTCCATAACTAACAGCAAAAGTTCTAGCTGTCAGTCTGTTGCCTACAATATGAATGTAATAAAAACAAACAATTATCATAGTATTGCAAGCAATCCATAAGTCCCCTACCGGTTAGAGCCCCAGCAACATTCTGCAGGGCCATTGGCAATTCACTTATGTTTCTATTTTAAGTAAATTTGTTGAAAAAGTTCTTGAAAAGTGATCACAGGAAACAGTTTTTATGTACAGACAGACGGACTGAAGGACACTCTACAGTTATTTTTTAAACATCCCTGTTATCAAAATATAACATTATTAAAAGCAAAATTTTTAAAAAGGAGATAACTCTTGAAATAAAGATGCAAGATGTCATACCTGATGTGAGTGTAACAAAGAACAATTAGTAATGAATGAATGAAAATAAGAATGGTTATTTTTAATTTGAAGTAAATGAAAGTTAAAAGAACGAATAAGAAAAATTAAAAGTTTAGGAGGAGATAACTTTGGAAATATGGATGCTAGATTTATAAACCTTGTCATATTATTATGATGTGGGAGTTTGAAGAAAATCCTATCATGATTGAAGAAGTTGAAGTAAAAATTACCAATTTCTCAAAAAAAAGTCTAAGTTCAAAAGGGGCATAATTCTGGAAATAGTCTTGCTAGAATATTGAACTTTCTCACAAATGTTAAGTGATAATAAGATACATATATATGAAGTTTGAAGTAGATACATTCAGAAAAAAAGAAGTTATTAAAAAAAACCAATTTTTTTTTTCATGAAAATTTTAAGTTCAAGGGAGGTAATTCTAATAAATTTTGTGCTACAGTTGTAAACTTTGTCACATATGATGTGGTTGATGACTAGCAACTTATATTTAAAGTTTGAAGATAATACCTTAAGAAATAAAGAACTTATAGTGAAAAAACTTAAAAAACTAGAATCAGAAATCTTTAATCTTTAATCAGAAGAATAAATTCAGTACATTTGTTGCCATAGCAACCAGAATTTTCAACATAGGAAGATAAGAAAAGGATGTGCATAATTTCCAGACTGCCATCTACCCATATGTCAAGTTTCATAAAAATATTTTCAGTACTTTTTGCGTTATCACTGGATCCAGGTTTTGTGTAAAATTTGCCATATTTTCAGTCGATTTGTTGCTATAGCAACTAGAATTTTCAACATAGGAAGAAAAGAAAAAGATGTGCATAATCTCAATACTGCCATCTATCCATATATCAAGTTTCATAAAAATATTTTCAGTACTTTTTGCGTTATTGCGGGATCCAGTTTTGTGGACGGACGGACAGACGGACGGACGGACTGACGGACAGACAGACTGACAGACGGACGGAGTGTAAACCTAAAGTCCCCTCCGGTAAACCGGTAGGGGACTAAAAACGATAAACTTACGCTAACTTCAAAAATTAAACTTGTCTCGACCTTCATTATTACTTTTAATTCTTCACTATTTTAATTCAGTGATGGTTATTCCAGATTATATTTCGTGAAGTTATTACTATTTAAATTTAGCTAAACCATGTACATTGTATAAGATAGGAGGAATTTCACCACCATAAAAGTTAAGATATTAACTTTTTCATTTTTAGAATTAGAACCTTACCTGATGGCACGACTTCATCCTTTGGTTTATTAAGAACAACAATTCTGTCATAAATTCTATAGCGAGATCTAATATATACCGGTATATCTTCTGTTTTGCATAGAACAGCAATACCTGTAAAGATAAGTTATATAATAGTTTGTGACCTTTCTGTTGAAAAGTTTACGTTATTGGTATATACCTATATATTAAATTTGAACACTTAACTCGAAAAAATATTTCCAGTCTCGTCATTTAAAAACAACTAAGTGGAGTCTCTTCAACATGTTGAACATGATATTTGAACCAACATAGTGCGTTTGCGACCAGCATGGATCCAGAACAGCCTGCGCATCCGCGCAGTCTGATCAGGATCCATGCTGTTCGCTATCAGTTTCTCTACTTGTAATAGGGTTGGTAAGCGAACAGCATGATCCTGATTAGACTGCGCGGATGCGCAGGCTGGTCTGGATCCATGCTGGTCGCAAACACATTATGTTGGTTTTGTCGTGACGCGGCTCATTTTATCCTTTTGCAGTGCTATGATGACTTTTAGCACAAGGTAATCCTACATATAAGGCAAAGGCCATCTTAACCATTCTCTAGTTATCGATCGGACTCAATAAGTATCAACTGTTTATTACTAAAGCCTTAAAGTAACAAATGAGATAAATAAAATATTGGAAAGACGTTAAAATGCGAACTTAAAGGCGTAAAAACGCGACATAAAATGCATAATAACGCGAATAAAGGCGTTCCAACGCAAATCAAACGACGTAATAACGCGAATCAAGTCGTAATTAAGAGAATCAAAAGACGTAATAACCCATAACAAACGCGTTATAACTCGAGCCAATATTTTGTTTCTGTGCAAATCACCATTTTCTTACATATGAGTCATACAATGTACCAATTTATTCATTTCCACTTTATACGACCGATGAAAATATAGCTAGGGTCATTTGGTCTTGCCCCAGATTTAAGTGAACTAAAGGTTAGAGCTTAGTGAACAAAAGGGCAGAGCTTCATTGATCTTTACTTTTCACCAACTGACCTCAAAATCAAAAAGGGTCATCATTTGTTACTAAACCTCCACATAGGGATAATTAGGAACCTCCATGCCAGAGTTCCCTTATAATTGGTCAGGCAAGTTTTTCACGGTCTGCCGACCGGCGGATATATCTAGCAACCGCCACTATATGCAAAGCAATATATACCCGAATACGCATTAAAATGAGAATAATTAAGTACAATATTTCTACAGAAAACTAATCCTACCTGGATGCAATTCAGAATAGTTCCCATGCGCGTTTCTCGCTTGGCCTGCTCTTGGACATCCTGTAAATAAATGTAGAATTAAACTCGAAAGCACGGAAAATAGTTCTTCACATGTTTTCGGCTTGTTTCTACGATGGTTAGTATGTCAATGCATTTTGATTATCACATGGTCAGTAAACCCACTCTTACAGTCACAGATGAGTTGAGGAAAATATGCAGTACCACGCTGCCTGTATTGACAGAACTTCTCTGCATGACTAGAGCAATTTTAATTTGATTATTAACTATGTCTCACTATGCAAGTAGTTTCAAATTAAATGTGCAAGTAATTATAAAAAAAATATCAGAAATAGCCATTTTTTTAATGAAGGGCCTTTTTAAGGCTAAAAAAATGAAATAGGCACAATCGAAAATTAAAATGTTTTGATATTTAGAAACAAATGATTACCTGGTAAATCTGGCAGTGGCAATTCGTCAACTACGTCATCTGTAATATATGAAATAAAATGCTCATATTTAAACATTTTCTCTTAAATCAAAGCTAGTTATTATTATTTGCATTGCACTGTGCCAGAGCTACTAATAAGATTATGTATAATATATTCTCAAAAGTTCATTGAATAATTAATTGTAAAATCTCTTACAATAAAGAGGTAAACAAACAGTTGAGCCGCGTCATGACAAAACCAACATATTGCGTTGGTGACTAGCATAGATCTAGACCACCCTGCGCATCCGCGCAGTCTGATCCGGATCCATGCTGTTCGCTATCAGTTTCTCTACTTGCTATAGGTTTTGTAAGCGAACAGCACGAATCCTGATCAGACTGCGCGGATGCGCAGGCTGGTCTGGATCCATGCTGGTCGCAAACCCATTATGTTGGTTTTGTCATGACACGGCTCAGTTTATATTTTCGCTTCCGTAATATCAAATTACACAGTCAACGAAATAAAGATGATGGCGTTTCGTTGACACACTTAAAAAACTAGCTGATTGTGAGCTTAGATTGCGTATTTTATTGAAAGGCCTTTATAAAACAAACGTTATATCATGCTTTCTTGTTACTTGATAAATGCTGACTTTAAGATACAATCATGGTGTGATGTGAAGTAAAAATAAATAGAGAGCTCGTGCAAGTGTTGGATTTTTCTAAATCTGAAATACCATAAAATACTAATAAAAAAACGCTATTTAATTTGAATGAGATTGACAATCAAGTTGATTTCGTATAAACGCCAAGTTCGGGCAGTTTCTAAATGTACTTAAACATATCTGTACACAGCTGTTTAAATTGAAGTATTTAACCAAAACTACAATATCTGCGATTTTGCTCATCAAAATTGATAAAAGTATACAAATAAAAACTGAATGAAATGGTCAAAATGCATTTTGCTATAATTCGCACAAAACGTCACTGAGGACGACTTTTATATACCCATTTCCAAAACAACCACCATGTCTATTGATAAATCATTAGTAATTTGTTTGATTGTTTTAAAATGTGTATGGTGGCTGATTTGTGCCATGTCTTGTTTTCACTCCACAGATCGTCACTTGAAAGCAAGAAAATACGTCAAAAAGATGATTTTGTCGTACTTTCGCTCCACATGGCGCAAGGCGAAGACTCTGTTTTACGACAAAAGCACAAAATTGTCGAATTTTCGTGCTTTCGCCGGACGTCTCATGGAGCTAAAATACGACATGGTACAAATCAGCCACCATAAATGTGCCCTATACAATATATTTAAACATGACATCTTGAACAACAACAGCAGGAGCAGCATACTTTTTATTTACATAAACACATAACGTAAGAACCTAAAAAATAAGGAAACATCCAAAAACGTCTATGTATAACAATCTGAAAAATAATGGACTATCAGTCCAGTCTAAAATGTTTCATTTTTTTCTTCAAATTGTGCATTAAAATCAAGGAAGTATTTTATTAGCACGACAGCAATATGTATAAAGAATAGTTCTGTTTTATGAAATATTTGTTGTATAAATGTGTCATGTAAAGTGAATGTTGTCGTCCAGGAATTCTTATAAGATAAAATGCTTACAATGCATTAACAAAAGAAAAATGGAATAAAATTTATCAGTTGTGAATTAATAAAAGACTATTGCACGAATGTTTGTAAATATAACTTATATAAAACAGCATTCTTAGCTGTTAAAAAGCGTTCTTTTTCATTATATTTCTTTCCCTTATTAGCATTATATTGAAAAAAATATCTCTGTATGATGATACATTAAAAAGATGCCAGCAAAATTTAAATGAAATTCAACTTTAAAAATATGCCACAAAGATTATAAAAAATGATATATCAGCCAAATATAGTTTCTACAACAATTGATACGTAAAACAAATTTTATAAAGAAATTATTAAAAACACAACAGCCATCATACATGCTATATAATCCGTCTAACCCATTTTGCAAGTCATCGATATCTGCCCACAAAATGAAAAAGAATGAAAACCGACAACACCAACAACCCCCCCCCCCCAAAAAAAAAAAAAAACAACAAAAAAAAACAACCAATATTTGACGAATATATATATCATTAATTATAATGCTAAAATGCACTCTTTAGTGGCGGTTGTCCGTTTGTTTCTATCTAAGAATAATATACGGAGTGTGTATTACGTAAACCACTCGGAATGGTATAGTTTTCTTTTTTTAAGTGTTTAAAGAAATGGTAGCCAATATGATTATATTTTATCTCAATACATGTATACGTGTGACAAGAATCATGAATTAAACTGATCTTGACCAAGAGTAAAATATTTATTTTTCACTTATTTTGCCATTTATAAATTAGAAATAATTTCACCTATAAGAGAACAAGCATTTCTAAACCAAGAAAATATCTTATACAAGGATATTTGAGAACTTTATAAGTCAATTGAAACCTTGATCCCTACTTATCTACTTTACGCCTGAGTTGAAGTATCCATTTACGGTGTTAAAATGCCTATGTAAACGGTGTTGAATCTCGTGACTGAACCCCTTTTATTATAAATGGTGTATAAACGTTTACCGTATGGAAATCAAGTTATGGCCACTTTTCTGAACTCAAGCTAGGATGTTATTAGGGCCTTTTTTTAAAAAAATGAGGAACCTTTAAATAATCTGCAATAACATTCTAATGAAAAATGTTTTCCCATTAATTTTTGGTAAGAAACAAATAGTACCATTCAGCTAACATCAACATCAGCAAAATTATGATTTCTACTTAAAATTTATGAAATCTGTATAAAAATGGTACCCTACCCCACACATTTTTACCACGTGTCTAACCATTTTACTACCTAGGGACCTAGGGAGCCTTATTTAAAAAAATCCTTAAAATTCACCTAAATGAGTGCCTGTTTTCAAAATTTCCCTAAATTTTTAAAGAAGTATATTGGTTGATCTTGTAAAATATGAAATACTTTTACAGTCTAGTTTTGATTTTATTTTACTTTAAAAATATCAGGTACCATATTTATTACTACATTTAGCATTATTTAACCAATAAATAACTATATAAATTAAAAAATCAAAATTAAACACTTTTTTCTTTCCAAATAGGACAAGAAAGATACATAAATAATGTTAAAAGAAAAAGAAAGAAAGAAAAAGAAAAAGTTGACCCTTCTGGGTATTGAACCCACAGCCCTCATTTTCAATGTAGTTAACAGTAGTTCTAGCCTATTTGAATACTCTTCAAAGCGGAGGTAATGCATAAGGATGGTAACACCTTAATTGTAAAATTTATCTCAATAACAGAGCCTGTACATAAAATCAATGTGGATATAAAAAGCTAGATAAAATGAATAGAGAAATGTTACATCGCTTGAAAACCTTGCATTTACTTCAAATCACCAGTCTCCTGTTTTAAAAAGAAATGAACCGAGACTATCACATATACCATGAAGAATTTTCTCTTGAAATTGAAGAAAGAAATATTTCGGATGCACTTAGTTTCAAATGTCAAGAAGAGTCAACTATCTAAAGAGTGATGCAAACAGCTTGGTATATTTTTGTCTGAAATTATCTCCGAAATGGGCATGATCTTAAGTGTTGTTAAAACTATAATGACAAATGTTATTACAATATTGACATATTACCATGTAGAATAAATAAAGTACTGAATAAAACGTTTAGTTGAATGTATTACAGTATGTTAAATAATAATCGAATTAATTAGACAATAACAATGAAGGTTGCAGGATTTAGTATTTGAAAAACGACAACATAGAGCAAAACATCTTGCAGCCAACAACTATCAATCCAAAAAAACAACAATTATACAACACATTATTTTAACAATAGTGAACCACCAAAAAAGTTATAACTGATGTATAAAAATGATGACTTAAGGCAACCAAAAACAACAAATCAAAAATTTTGATGAAATATGTCTTACCCATTTCCGGCGATCTGATTATGTGAATGAACATTAAAATAAGTTCATCAGAATAAACCACTACATGCATCATTCTTACTGGTAAATTTTTTGGGGAATTTCTCAACATAGATTTTGATTCAAACAATCAGCTTTTTATCAATCACTAGCCCTGTTTTGTTTCTAAATAGGGGTTTTGAAGGTTTTTATGATACCTGTCGCATGAACACATCTATCATTCATGAACTGACTAAATCAAACAGACCCAGCAATGAGAATATAAATATTAAAGGAACGCAATTAAAAAACTTATAAGAACTTTTACTCATTATATACGAGTACATTAAGAAATTATCTATGAGCAAAGTATTTGCAAACTATACATGAAATATTCATTAATTGTGTATTCTTAAAATACGTTTCGGAGGAAGACGGCATTACTTTCTTTTAGTTGACATTTCTTAAAACTTTGTTTTTGACACGACATTATGATGAATAAATATTAATACATATTAAACACGGTTCTAGTTGCAATGTTAAGACATTCAAAATATCGTTTTGGTTTAAGCAAAGTGACCTTTCACCCCTGAAATTCATTTATCGATGATCGACAATCGTATTTGAAAATATATTACCAAAGTGTGTAATTGTAATTATTGTTACCATGTTTGAAAGCAAAGGTGTAAGGTATTGTTGTGAAAAATAACCTTCAGCTCACAACAATAACTCTAAGATTACCCCTATGATATTTATAGGATCTTAACACAGTTTAAACTTTGTGCTAATATGTTTTATAGTGAATGATGATGTAAATTTTTAGTAACTGACTTTTTATATTTTATTACTGAACCGGATAAAAGGTCAAGAATAAACAGTCTGATAAAAATGTTATCGTTAAATAAGTATAAATGGTATATCTATGACCAGAATCTTCATTTATAATTTATCTAAATTCATATGGATGTATCAACGAAACAGGAAGTTTAATTTATAAAATCTGTATTCAATAAATGAGCTCAATCCAACTTGCTTAACACAGCAAACAGTTTTGACAACTTACCAAATATGGCAGTTGCTTGATTTATCAATTTTAAAAAGGCTTCATTATGACAACAATGGGAAAATAAAGAGAAATAAGAATCCCTAAAGAAAGCCCAACACGGCTTAATTGAAAATGTTTGCAGGCTCGGTTTGATTGAGCCTGTTCATGGACGGTTCTGTCAAGTGCTAACTACCGTCCACGCCCCTAGCACCGGCTTAACATGAACTGGTAAATTAAGAATTTTATAACATCCGCAGATGTGCCATATGGCGGTTATCATGGGACGTTCAATGTGACAAGTTAGTGCCATTCCATGAAAAGCGGCATATGGTCCCCAAGTAAAAAAAATGCATGTGCCCTAAACGAATAAAAATGGGCGGAACTTGATAAAATGGAATTTTGAAAAAAGGATTTGAGGTTATGAAGCCAGCATATCACAGATATGACGTCAAAAGACAAATTTAAAAAGCAGGCCACATATCCTTATGGTGATTCAACAGTATTCAAGTTAGGAAAACTGGAACCACCCAACTAGAAAGCTGCCGAATAGAAAGAACTAAAATAACACAACAATTATGTCGTGCTGAACGATCTTTAAGGATCGGAAATATACATGTACATGCATGAAGACATACGTGTACATGTTGTTTCCAAGAACTAAAAGTGTATCAGTTACAAAGCTTGAGGTTTAAAAGCTCAATCGAACCGACCTTTCAACATTATAATTTTTGTCTTTTCGCGCGTTTTCTAGGGACCAAAGACAAAATTTAAAATATGTTAGTACAAAGGGCCAAATGAAAACAAGATATATGATCTTGAAAATAATTGTTTGATAAATTCAAAAAGCCTCTTACCAACATGAACGATGTCGACATGCTGTCCATCATCACTTGTGCTCTCTGTTTCTTGTACACCTGAAATAAAAAGTATTATATACAGACTCTTAATGTATATGAGTTTACATGATTTGGTCTGCGTTCAAAACTTTGTTGAAGTAAGATACGTAGATCATTGGCACATTATTTTATTTTCGGAGCTGAAGATTGCAAATGGCGTTGCAAATTTACAATATATATTATTTACAAACCTTAATGTTACCAGCGTTTAATTAACACTAAAATGTGTATTTATGCTAAGATTAACGTTGATACATACATTCATGTATCAAAAATGTTCTAGACAGAATAATGATAAATGGACAAACTTAGCACGCTCAAAATTCAACAATTGGTATATAATAGTAAAAAGTCTTAAGTAATGGTATTGTACATCTAAACACCAAGGTTGTTTGAATAAATGCGATATTTTGAAGGACAGTTTAAATTACGACAACATTTTTGCAAACCTTTAGAAGCAAATAAAAATGAACAACTTTTATATCCTTATTTTTATAATTGAATGGTAACACTTGGTAACACAAATCAACCAGTATTTTATAAAACTTTGTCCTATGCAGGGGCTTATGTTAGAAAGCATAATATGGAATAATATGTCATCTAACTTCATTATCGATGTTCTGATCATTGAAATCTTATCAATTTTAGTGGCATCCTGTATTCTGCAGTATTGTTCGATCCGATGCATCTAGAGAGATTAAACGTCTTAAAACCGCAAATATTTCTTTCTTTTCCAAATGAGACCAATAATACAAACGGCTCATTATTTTATCAAAACAAAAGGAATATTTTTTTACCGTTCAATAAATTTAAATCTAATTCATTAACAAGTGTCGAGTAAGAAGTGTCAGTTTCACATAAAAAATAAGCAAGCCTTTTTAAAGTTCAAAATATATAACTAAAAAAAGTTGAACACAATTGAAAGATTAAAAAAAAATGTTTTTTACATATTAGTGTGCAAGTTGAAAACAAAGTTTTTGGAGGGTTAATCTGTAATTATATTTTTTTTATAAAAGTGTGTGTTAAAAATGAGTGTGCTATGGGGAATATATTTTTGACATGAAAACATTGTACTTTGCCATGGCAAAACATTTTACCAGGACAAAAATATAGCAAGTGCCAATATAGTTAATATTGTGTCATTAAAATTAAATTGGAAAAAACTTGCTAGAACAAAATTTTAACAAAACATAATAGTATTATAATATAATTTTAGACTGAGTGTACCATGTTACAATTTCAATAAGAAAGTCAATATTACATTGTATCTAGTTCACCACGACTATTTTGATGGTAGTGTTTCGTTTTCATCATAAATAAGAAAGAATAGATGGAAGAGTCGCTATTCTTTTTAAAAGAAATTAAGATATTTTAGTTCATCAAAAATTCATTGATAGTGCAAAGGAATTACAGTTGTAGACTCTACATTAAATTATAAGCGATTCACTTTGATAAATATCTATGGGACTAACTTAGATTAACCTGTTTATGAAAGTATTTTCAGAATCAATGATAAGAGTCAGAAAATATTCACTTATATGTTGTGGAGATTTCAACTCGGTATTAAATACAGAATTAGATTACTTTAATTACAAATCAACAGAAACAATTAGATTTTTTTATAGTTATATTTCTAGTTAACGTTTGTTTGACCGATTCAGAGAAATCATTGGTAATTTAAGAAATTTTTCATGGAGAAGAGCAATTCCTGTTCAACAAGCTCGATTAGATTTTTCTTAGTTCAGCCTTATTACCCCTTTGTAATATAAGTTTTAGTTTTAGATCGGATCATTCAATGGTTTTAAAAATGACAACTTTAGTAATACAACACACGGTTAAGGCCTTTAGAAGTTGCATAATTATTTGTTGTATGACGGTGACTTTTTGAAATGTATTAATCAAAAGATTGAAGTAGTTAAAACACAATATTGTCTACCTGTTTATAATTTAGAAACTTAGTCTAATATAAATAATGTTATAAATGACCAATTATTCTTGGAAACTTTGTTAATAGAAATAAGAGGTAAAACAGTATCATATGCAAGTAATAACAATGAAAAATCTAAAACAAACATCAACAAAAACATCTAAGGGAGATGTATTAATCATACAGATTGCAAATTAAGAAGGCAGAAATATGAAACCGAATTTTTTTATTAAAATACAAGAAATACTGACTACTTTAAAGCAAGATAAAATGAAAGGCCATTTTATAAGATCTAGAGCTAAGCGGATTTTTTTTCGGCGAAAAGCCAACCAGCTATTTCTGTAATTAAGAAACATTTCATTAAAAAAGTAAAGTTATACCAATTTTACAGAAAAAGTATGGGTCAATAATGAATAATCACAAAAATATTTTACAGGTGGGAGAGTCTCATAACAAGCAATTACATACAAAAGTAAAAATGACAGAGAACAATACAATACACATTTTTCTTAAAAATAATACTATCATCAAATTAGAGAAACTTCAAATAATATGATATATGATAAAAGTCCTGGATCTGCTGGGTTTTCTGCTATTTTTCTTTAAATTATTCTGGAATAAAATTGGTAATATTATTGTTCGATCTTTAAACTATGAATTTAATGAAGGTAATTTTTCAATGACACAAAAACAAGGAATCATTACTTGCATTCAGATTGACAAAACAAAAAACTAAACAGTGCTAAAAATGACGACCTATTCAACTCTAAGATACTATTTATAAACTAGCTTCTGGTTCTATAGCAAAAAGATAGAAATCTGTGTTAGATATTTAAATAAACACGGATCAGGCGGGCTATGTCAATTAAGGTCGGTTTTTAAGGGAAAATATACGTATTTTACATTATATTTTCAAATATTCAGGTATAAACAAAGTACCTGGTCTTCTAATGATGATCGACTTTTGAAAAGGCATTTGACGATTTATCATATAAATATATGCACACAAATGTTAGATATTTAAATTTTGGACCAATGATAATGAAATGGATTGAACTGTTTAATAAAGATACTCAGACAGCGGTCCAGATGAATATTTTTTTCTTCTTTTGTCAGATTTCTTAAGAATTGGACGCGGCTATTGATATATCATTTCCTAATTCTGTCTTCGTAATTCAACATTTAGCTCTTAATCTTGTTTATGATTAGGAGAAAATTGCTTTGTATAAAACTGGATATTGTCTGTAATGAAACTTGTAATGAAGCATTACAAAAACTAGAAATTAACAAATTTCTTGCATTGCAATAGGTTATATGAGGGTTTGATGTCAATTTAGAAATTCATCAGTTTTGTTTATTGAATTATGGCAGTGATGCTTTGAATCTTACCATGTGCTTATGTCCATTAATATTACTTTGAGTCTGCTTGGATAGCTTAAGATGTTGATCATTTAGGTCTATGATTTCAGGATGCACAAGTTTGAATCTTGGGCATTGCACTTGTGTTCTATAACCTGCCTGGTCTGTTTTGTAAAAAAACAATAATGTTATAATAACCAACATTGTAAATTTTTCACTGCTATTCAAGTGATATGTATTGAATAGTTGGATGTCTTTTGTGCATCAAAAAGAAAAAAGAAAAAAAGAAGCCCCTCAGTATAAGCACAGGAACATCTAATTCATACAATGGACTTACTCCTTGTGACTGAGGGGTTGCCTTTTAGGGTTGAAGCATCAGAATTGCAGACACCATTTATCCCATTGGTGATCGTAAGAGGCAACTAAATGGGTTCAAATTACTGCAGTCTATGCATCTTTAAACTCCAGCAGTTGAGGTGGTTTTGATCCCTGGTGTTGCTTATAGTTTGTAACACCCAATGTTAGCCAAAATCATCTTTCCTGTTTTGGCATCATATGACCAAAATTGTATTGAAGCGATGTAAAACAAATCAAAACAAATGCTCTATAATTGAACATATTTTGGTTTTTCATTGCTCTTCAGTGTTGACAAACAAACTTTCACAGTTCCAACTTAGAAAAGCGCAACTAGTTGACAATTGTATTGAGAACGGTAGTGCAGTATGAAGCTTTAATGGTAAAAGTTTGTTTGTTTTGGATAAGCTTATAAAACCCACATTTGCCAACAAGTTTGGAATAACATCAGTTAAAGGGATGAAATACTGCTGCAGATAAATAAGTATAATTGAATTTACCAATCTAAATTTGTATAATGGGTTTGACCAGCTAAGCAGTTAATTACTCAGTGTATGAACCAGTGTACTTCCTGTTGAGGCAAGAAAGGTAAAAGTTAACATATATAGGCACCCATGAAAGATAGAGTGATCAGAAGTGGCAGGTGTGGTTAATCTCAAGACATGGTAAACATTAAAGCGTGCAGACTTGCATGACGGGGTACAGTGATTTTGTTTATTTACTCAGAGTTATGGGGATTTCAATATAAAGATATTTAAAAACACATTGAGCAGCCAGCCTGTTTGGGTATATAGGCCAGGGGCTTTATTTATGTATACAGTGAGGCCAACCTGTTTGTCGTCAAGGCGACCCAGTCAGTCCTTACATTTTTATATTTTGTGCAGAGATCCTAGCTATAAATAAAGAAATAACCCCAGGTGTAAAAGGCATTTGTATTAATTCAATAGTACTGAGTACAAAATATCACAATTTGTAAATTACACTTCTTGATTGGCTAGAAAATCATTACATAGTGCTTTGAATATTTTGGAACATTATGCTATATTATTTGGTCTAAGAAAACACATGCTGTTTGTCTAGGTTCTTTAAAGTGCATCATAAGTTCCATCAAAACAAAATGGAAACTGACCTGGGACAATTCAAACTACTTCGATCATATTTTGATGTTAATTTGGATGCGATGATGTCTTTAAACTTTGATGAAACACCTAAAAATATTCAAAATTGTATACAATATTGGAAAATGAGAGAACTGAAACCATTAGGACGTATATCTTTGATTTAGTTTTTACTTTTTCCCATGTTAACTCAGTTATTTATACATGTATTTCTTCAAAATCCAAATAGTCAGTGGATAGATAATGTAAATAAGATATTT